AGCCACGCGCTGCGCGCGGGCTTGTAGGGGGGGTACCCCCCTGCAAGTGGGGCCCTGGTAAGGGCTCCACCCATTGGGCCACGGCTACATGATAATATGTAAACTAGATCATATCACGGTTAGGCTGAAACTAAGCACATATTGATGGTAATTTAGGCATAGTTTTTAGAAGGCCTTCTCCTGCTAAGCACTAAGTAGTACTAGTAACTATGTTAGTACTACTAATCTACGGAGTACCATCTTTTATTATGGAGACTATTTTGCGTACTTTTATCTGTTCGTGAGCTCTCACTGTATACGATGTACTAATGTATACGTGTCAGTATTCATTGAAATCAGCTCGTTGTCGACCAGTAAACTTAGAGATAAGCGGGTTTGCCAGTTGGCACGTCACCCTGGTGTAAGTCACAATTCGTCCCTCTTTCTCAGACCCCAACCTGCCAGCCGCAGTCGATAAGCCATAATGCCATGTCGAGGAACCTCCGCCGTGATCATTACCTTCGCACTTAATGTCCCTACCGGCTGCCCCAGCAACAATGTGTTGTTACTTGCCAATCCGTCCTCATAGCTCGTCTCAGTTGCATTAAAGTAATACGATGTGACATTGAGACTCGACGCCTGTGTCGAGTTGCCATCAATGAGTGCCTGAGCCACATCCTCCGGCATGCGATTTGCCCAAAGGTCGTGGATTGTCCATTCCATAGTTGACTCCTCGCTTGTCCCTTCCTCGCCGTCGTCGTAGAAGATATCATCGGCCATTGCGTTCATCTCCCGCGAGCTGTTGCCGGCATTGAGGAGTGCGACAAAATAGTCACCACCAGATAGTTGGCCGCTCCACATCTGGATCTCGCCCTGCCCATATCTGTCGACGTCATCAACATCGTATCGCCAGACGCGCACGGCGGAGGTACCTCTCGGGTCCTGATTCAGCGCTATGATGGCAGGATTGTTGAGGATGGAGAGATCTCGTGCCGAGAGTCTGCCCATATCGTTTCCCATCAATAGCGCAGATTTGACTGCCGCCCACATAGTGAAGTGGGTTTTGTATTCGTCGTCGGTCATGCCACCATTGCCGACTTCGAGAGCATCCAGGTCATTCCATGCGTGCGGGACACCCTTGTCAATGTAATGACTGACCTTGTTGAGGATATTCATGGCTGAACAGTGAAAGCCAGGGAGGGCGCAGTTGTATTCTTCGTTCCCAGTGCAGGGGCAGCGAGCGTCAGGGCGGTTGAAACTGTCGTAGATGTCGCCGCTCATTCGCCAGCTATTAGCAACAGTCTGGGCCCATTTCCAGGGGTAGTCTTCGCCCCAGTTGCACATCGAATACAAGATTTGCCGACCGGTAGAGTTGAGGGCGTCCGACATTTTCTTGTAGCGGTCGTATGTAATGAGTGGATTGCCACTCTGACCTTCGTTGTAGCAGTTGTCGTATTTGAGATAGTCGACACCCCAGCCGGCGAAGGTCTGGGCGTCTTGGTGCTCATAATTCAAGGAGCCAGCGTAGCGTGCACAGGTATAGGTGCCGGCAGAACTGTACATCCCGAACTTGAATCCTTCATTGTGTATACGATCTGCAACCTCCGCCATGCCGCTAGGAAATCTTGTGGTGTTGGCTTGGAGGGTACCATTGGAGCTTCTGCCGTTTGACCAGCAGTCGTCGAGGACAATATATTGATAGCCAGCATCTCTTAGCCCGTACTGAATGATTTTCTCAGTTGCCGAGATCAGCAATTCTTCGTCCACGTCACATCCAAATGAATTCCAATTATTCCATCCCATTTGAGGCGTTTTAGCCAGCTCATTGAGCGGGTACAATGCATGGACTGAGAAGGAGAGAGCTGCCGAGGCGGTTGCTAGCCAAGGGAGATACATCATTGTACAATAAAAGAGCCAAATTCAGTATGAAAAAGATCTTGAATGAAAGGCTAGCATACCAGAAAGGGTGGATATAGGTCAATAGCGACACCCATGGCAGCAACAGTAGATATCTAAAGAAAAGGCATGTAGACGGTATCGGCCTTTTTTGCTAGGTCTGCTTTTGGAACCATGTGTTTGCAAAGATCGAAAGAAAACATTATACCTGACGTGCACTGTAATGCTTTTTCCTGACGTTGCATTGGCAGCTGAACTGGGCCGACGATTCCTGGTAGATCAGCGTAACCCCTTCCTGGAGCTGCAAAGCGCGACAATATGCGGGGTGGAGCTTGCAATTGAATGCGGGGAAGATGGCATGGTCTCACAAGGCCGCGAAGAAACATTGCAGTAAATTTGGAGATCTCAAAGGAAGCTGCCATGTTGATGGTGGGATGGACGACTCGCGCTGCCTGTCTGCGGGGCGGAGCATAAGACGGTGCGCCGAATAATCCTCCGAGACGATGCAAGAGGTTGCCTAGTTTTTCCTGACAGCACGTTCGGCAGTAGGTAGGCGCTATCAACACCCCCTCTGTTCTTTGCAGTAGTCTGTTCCTCCGTCGTTCTCCTTGTCCTCGTCGTGGTTACCTGGTTTAGTTCCCGCTTCTCTGATCGCAGCGTCGTCTCCTCTGAGCTTTTCAAAATATGCTTTGATATCTTCTGCTCCCACGGCCTTCCCACTTTCCGCATATGGTTTCAAGAAATCCTTCACTTTGTCCTTGAGATGATTGTAGACCATGACACCTTCAATCGCCCTCACTCTGTCCATGTTATTCAATGCCGCCTCTCCCCGCTCGAGAAGGCTGCCAGTACCGTGACTGCGAACCCCTGATCCTGGGCCTCCATCCGATTCTCCAGACTCGGATACTGGTGGCTCATATGTGTCTTCTTCCTCTAGGAGCTGCGGGTGTGGGATTATATTCGGATAGCACCTTGGACAGTGACAGATGTGATCCCGGAAATCCTCTTTAAGGAATAACGAAAATGTGCCCTGTGGTGCTGGTGACAAGAAATCGTGCTTTTGCTTTGGTTGTGCTGTCATGTTGTCGTTTGTTTGAAGGCCACTCTCTGTCGATGGTGGCTGCGATTCCTGTCTTACTCGCTTAAAAGGACTTGATGATCGCAAATCATTTTCATCGTTTGCTTTTCGCTTTCTTGGCTCATCCAATGTCGAAGAAATTATTTTGCTCGTGCAACCTGTTTCAAGCGCCGTCACTTCTGCATCGACGGCTGCAGCTGGAGCGTTATCATGCTTAAATAAGGGTGGGAGGAATCCTGGAGCACTGGCGTACTGCTTAATCCAAGGATTTGACTCGACACATTTGAAGCACAATAGCGCCTCAAAGTCGTCCTCGTGTGGGAAGCCAGGCGGGGCTGAGTGATCTTCGTCCAACTCAAGTGCTTCCGATGTGGAGAGCACACTGTTTTCTGCTTTTGGTTGCTCTGCTGCACACGTTTTCAATCTGCGCCAGTTACGAGGGAGACCCATCAGGCACTCCGGATGCCACCAGTCCTCCCCGCACTCCCCTGTCTCCACGGTACCTAAGCCTAGGCATTGAAACATTGTGCCCTTCTCCTGAGCTGCGTCATACTCTTCCCCACAACCACAGAATCTATTTTGAAAGTTATGGTTGTAATGATTTGCTTTAGCTGCCTCTTGAGAATGCACGCCCTTTGCGCCAGTCAACGGATCGCTTCTTAGTGTGCATGGCGACGTCGTAGGCATTCGGGTCGAACCGCAATCACAGACAAAGTTTCGTCGACTGAAAAGTTCGACAAGAGTATGATCGCCATGACATGCAATCGAGCAAGAATAGCAGATACCAGCGGGTGTATAAACTTGGGCTGGTGATGCGGGAGGAGGGTTGCATGTCGTACATGCGAATATTGTTTGTCGCAATGGTCCTAAAGGTTGGGTGCATGAATCGAAGGCCTAGGTAAGGTGAGAATAACACCAAGGACAGAACAGGGAAATGATCGGCTCACATATGGTAACACTTCTCGAGCTTCGGCTTCAAGCCGGAGCTGAGTATTGATGAAGCTGAGCGAATGAGGTCAGAAACCATTACATGGACGGAACCTTTGGCAGATCAGGAGTTGATGGATGAATGCATACTCCGTAGCAGTTTGGGAATCTTGCGATTCATTCGTGACCTTTGGCTGCTCTTGAGAGGCAGTATCGTGTGCCATCTTCCTGTCCAACGAGGCATCCATCGTAGTCTTCACAAGTCGGCTAACAGGTAGAGTTCTGAGGTGGAAGATTGAGACTCAGCCTGGGATTGCGTTTATGGGGCCAAGTCAATCACAAGCCGAGGATGAGTGGGGGTGGGATTCGGAGAGGGGGTTTTGCAAATGAGAGTGGCCACCACTTCAGAGAGAAAGCCTATGTGAGTCTTTGCCGTGGACCTCTGCCCACTCCCTTTGGCCCAAAATCATTCATTTGAGTGCCAAGAGCCCAGGTTACTTTTGCAACAGACTGGCTTAAATTGAATGTGACGCGTCGCGTTTCCAGACGCGCACTTCCTTGAACGCGCGAATTCGTGAATTCTTCATAGTCCCCACCATCACCCTGAACATTTATCTAGTAGCCACATCTCAATCGATTCATAGGCACTATGAGGTATGATCGCAAATTCATCACTCAACTGTCTTGCGCAAGCTCGGAGCAAAGCCACTAACTATGTCTCATAGCTCTCCACTACGACCCAGCATGTCTGCAGCGAACAGAGGTCTGACGGCCGCAAGCAGGAGAAAGCGCGCCCGCGACGAGGAAGATGAGTTGTCATCCTCAATACTAGCATCTAGTCGTAAGTCTATCACAGTGGTATCAAGAACCTACTGATCAGGGTCAGCTCCTCCTTCGTCCCCACCTGTACTGCCCCGTGATGTCGAGGCAGAGGATGATGTCGACCAAGAAGATGACCTCATCGGCGACATTGACGATGCAGACGAGATGGCAGAAGATGAGGACGGCATTGACCTATTTGGCGACAACTTCATGAAGGACGAACGCGAACGACGAGACCAACAGAATTACCAGGGACGAATGATTGACGACGAAGGGGATTACGACGGACTTGATGTTGCTGCCCGTCGGCAACTCGAGGAACGTTTGGACAAACGTGATCGCGAACTCGCGCGCCGACGTCGAATGCCCGCTGCATTCATGCCTGACGAAGAGGATGATACAGGTCTTGACCTGACCAGACAGCCCCGGCGACGTCGACATCACTACGATGAGGACCAGGATGAGATGGAGGTGGATGGCAACATCATGGAGGAAGAACTCTCCCTCGAGACTTTGCAGGATATCAAAGCTTCGAATATTACAGAATGGGTAACATTACCTTCTGTCATGAAAACCATTGCTCGCGAATTCAAGTCATTCTTGACCGAGTACATCGATGCCACCGGAACTTCTGTTTATGGGACTCGAATCCGCACACTAGGAGAAGTCAATTCCGAGTCTCTTGAAGTTTCCTATGACCACCTAGCTTCGTCGAAAGCTATCCTGGCATACTTCTTGGCCAATGCTCCGGCGGAGATGCTGAAGATCTTTGATGCAGCTGCTTTCGAGGTAACACGTCTCCATTATCCGAACTACAGTCTGATCCATCCACAAATCCATGTCAGAATATCAGATCTACCAGTCCATTACACCCTTCGTCAGCTGAGACAGTCTCACCTCAACTGTCTTGTCCGCGTCTCAGGGGTAGTAACCCGTCGCACAGGGGTCTTTCCTCAACTGCAAATGGTCAAATTCACATGTACCAAATGTGGTGTGACATTGGGCCCTTTCGCCCAAGAGTCGACATCTGCCGAAGTCAAAATCACCTACTGTCAGAACTGCCAATCGCGCGGCCCTTTCACGTTGAACAGCGAGAAGACTGTTTACCGGAATTACCAGAAGTTGACTTTACAAGAATCACCCGGCACGGTTCCGGCTGGCCGACTACCACGCCATCGAGAAGTTGTTCTGCTGGCAGATCTGATCGATTCAGCGAAGCCAGGAGAGGAGATTGAGGTCACAGCCATCTATCGCAACAACTACAGTGGCCAATTGAACAACAAGAACGGTTTTCCGGTCTTCGCCACAATGCTGGAAGCCAACCACGTTATCAAGACACATGACCAGATGGCCGGTTTCAGACTCACTGAAGAAGACGAACGGCAGATCAGAGCACTGTCCAAAGACCCAGCAATTGTCGAAAAGATTGTGCATTCTATTGCACCGTCCATTTATGGTCACGACGACATCAAAACAGCCGTGGCGCTTTCACTGTTTGGTGGTGTAAGCAAAGAGGCACAAGGCAAGCACAAGATCCGAGGTGACATCAATGTTCTCCTTCTAGGAGATCCCGGCACAGCAAAGTCCCAAGTGCTGAAGTACATTGAGAAGACTGCGCATCGTGCCGTGTTTGCGACTGGGCAAGGTGCATCTGCCGTTGGTTTGACAGCATCCGTGCGTCGTGATCCTCTCACTGCCGAGTGGACACTCGAAGGCGGCGCTCTTGTACTGGCAGATAGAGGAACCTGCTTGATCGACGAGTTTGACAAGATGAACGATCAAGACCGAACCAGTATCCACGAGGCGATGGAACAGCAAACCATCTCTATCAGCAAAGCCGGCATTGTCACCACCTTGCAAGCGAGATGTGCGATTGTCGCAGCTGCTAATCCTATTGGCGGTCGGTATAATGGTACTGTACCGTTCAGTCAGAATGTCGAGCTCACAGAACCTATCCTATCACGTTTTGATATTTTATGTGTTGTGCGAGACACGGTGGAGCCGAGCGAGGACGAAAGACTTGCCAAGTTTGTAGTGAACAGTCACGGCAGAGCTCATCCAGCTAAGCTCAGTGTGGATGGAGGCGACACAGCTGCCATGGAGACAGATCAATCAAATGAAAGCAATGACGAGCCAAAGCAAGAGGGCGAGATATCCCAGGAGTTGCTCAGGAAGTACATCTTATATGCCCGCGAGAGATGCCGACCGAAACTCTACCAGATCGACCAAGACAAGGTCGCCAGGCTCTTTGCTGATATGAGAAGAGAAAGTCTAGCAACAGGAGCATACCCCATCACGGTAAGAGTTGCTCGAGATCCAGCATAAACTCATCACTGACGACCACACTAGGTCCGCCATCTCGAGGCCATTATGCGAATCGCAGAAGCATTTTGCAAAATGCGGCTTTCAGATTTCTGCTCCACACAGGACATTGACCGTGCCATCGCCGTTACGGTTGACTCATTTGTAGGCAGCCAGAAAATCAGCTGCAAGAAGGCTTTGGCAAGAGCTTTCGCTAAGTATGTGACATGATTCCATGGAATTCTTGAAGCTGCTAACGGGTCCTACTAGATATACCCTGAGAAGGCCAGAGGCATCACGAAGGAACAGAGGTGGACCTCGGGGTGGTAGCAATGCTGTCGGTGTTGTGACAGCTTGAACTTAGGTGCTCCATGACACTCAGGTCGATAGTACGAAGTCATTTCACAACGTTCACGGCGCGTGATGCTGGATGACTATGAAGGCGTTCAGATGGCCACTGTTGGAACATTGCGCTTTCAAATTGGAAATAATGATGGTGCTATGTACAATACCACGGCGAAGGGTCAGGTCCCCCGGTGGTGCTGGACACCAGAGCACTACAGCAATACCGGGCGGGAGTACGGAGTAGCGGTGGTAAAGACGAACAAGGTCAAGATGGCAGGGCCGCTTTCAGGAGCAAGGGCGGTAGCACAGACACCTAGTTTAGTCCAACAGACGCGTTTCAAGCCATCATTGCAGGAGAGGCACTTGTGTCATGCGGCCCTCTCTCGGAAGTCTGCGCGTGGTCGCCGGTCCGTCTGTGGGTGATAGGGGTACTGTAACCACTGGCCGGATACTGTCGTCGATCTCAACCACCAACTTCTGTATGCACACATCGCACCCAAGACAGCTAATACGTATCTACTGAATCGGCCCTCTTCCAATCGCTTTGACGAAACTATGTCATGACGCCATCAACATAACATGCAGCGGCAACATGCAGCTTCCTCTTTTCGTCCGCCCTCCGAGCAGATTACCAATCCACCCCATAGCAACAGAAGCTTCATGGATCGGTCAAGACTTGTATATCGGCCGATGCTCATCACGGTAGACTTGTCACTATGTACAAGCAACCTGTGTCCGAGTATCTTCTCGGAAAGCGTTTATTTCCCTGTCTCTTCATATCTCACCTTCATGCATTCTCGGCACGAGAAAAACCACAATAGCAAATACTGAACCCAAGCTCTGCAACTGTCGTTAAACATGTTTTTCTTTTCTTTCCTCTATTCCCAATTCTTCGTCACCCCCGCGCTTCCCGACCATGACTTCTCAAACCAAACCATCATCATCACCGGCTCCAACTCGGGCCTGGGCTTCGAAGCGGCCAAGCAATTCCTCGCTCTCCACTGCTTCAAACTCATCATCGCCGTCCGCAGCACCTCCAAAGGCGAAGCAGCCAAGCAATCCCTCCTCGAGACCAATCCCCATATCTCCGCCTCCCAAATCGAAGTCTGGCCCCTCAACCTCTCTTCCTTCAAATCCGTCCGCGCCTTCGCTGACCGCGCATCATCCGAACTCGAACGCGTAGACGCCCTCGTGGAAAACGCGGGGCTGGATGGAGGGAGGTTTGTGCTCAGTGAGGATGGGTGGGAGAGTACGTTACAGATCAATGTCATTTCGACGTGCCTGCTTGCGGTACTGATGTTGCCGAAGCTGAGGCAGACGGCGGAGAGATTCAAGGGCACTCCGCATCTGGTACTGGTGACGAGTGACACGCATTATTGGGCCAGATTTGAGGAGAGGAATGCAGAGGGAGGAATATTGAGGGCATTGAATGATGAGGAGAAATTCAACAGCTCGGATCGGTACGCACCTCACTTCCTCCTTGCGGAGGGAAAATTCAGGTTTCCTGCTCTTCAAAGCCAACTAAAGCTCACATTCCATCCCCCTCTCAGATACGCAACGACCAAGCTCCTCCAGATCCTCTTCATCCGCGAATTCGCTCGTCGTCTCAAATCCTCCCCGTCCGCTTCATACCGTCCAATCCTCACCCTCCCCACCCCAGGCCTCTGCCACACCCCCTTCTTCGGCCAGATGAAACCCCCGGAGAACGCGGTCTCTCACCCTCTCGGCACAGTGACCCACTATGCCATGAAGGGCATGCTCATCGCCCTGTCGCGGAGGGCCGATGTAGGCGCGAGGACGATAGTCACGGCCGCTTGCGCGGGGAAGGAGGCGGATGGGGCATTCATGATGGATGGACAGGTGAGAGAGGTGGTGGGTTGGGTGCTGACGGAGGAGGGGAGGAGGGTGCAGGAGAAGGTTTTCAGGGAGATCTTGGCGGCTGCCGGGGTCAAGGAGGGGGATCTGGTGTAGGGCGTTGTGGTGATGCATTGGGGTTTGCTGATGAAGAGAGAGAAAACAAAAAATTCGAATTTTTCGAGCCGAGGTTTCACGCCTTTCACTGATTCGTCAAGACACCTTCCACTAGGACTCCGTATATATATGGCAAGCAAAACAAGCGAGCAGCCAGACTTACTTAATCCCCCAGAATTTTGGTAGTTTACTTCACGGTTCCGCCTTTCTTCGTCAGATCCTCATATTGTGTTTCTAATGTGATTGCTTTGCTTAGTAGAGTAGGCATCAGGCCCCCTACTATTTTGGTCGGTTAACCCCCTACGTGAAAGAGCAACAGTGGTCTTATGATGGTCACAAGAGGAAAGAACAAGAAGGCGACGCAAAAGGAGATGGGATGAGAGAAGTCTCCATGGTTCTTTCATCCTATTTTCTAGTTACAGCCCCGGATTTCCCTCCCAATTCCCCAATACTCTACAATTTTTACGCCGCCCCAGCCGAGCTCCCATAGGGGCTGGCCTCCTGGCTCACAATATCCACGTACCCGTACAGACTCATCCGGGGACCATCCTCCGCCATCTTCTTGTTCCAGGCCTCCATGTCGCGATAGAAGGCGTCCACGTTCTCCTGGCGACTCAGATCGATCGGCTGCTGATCCTTGCCCAGCTGGCGCATCTGCGTGCCCGCCGCCAGATTGGTGAGCCCGAAGTTCTGCTGGTCGATCTTCTGGTCCAGCGCGCTGTCGACCCGGCCCTCGAGCATGGATTTGGCGAGGGAGGGTTCCTGGCAGACGGGGCGCGCGAGACCGACCCCGTCGACGGATTCGAGCGCCTTGACCATCCCGGCCACGGTGCGCAGGCCGCCGGTGACGTAGGTGCGTGTCCTGCTGAGGGCGGGCGTGATGGTGTCGGCGAATTCGAGGAAGAAGGCTTCGCGCTTCTTGGTGCTTTCGCGCTGGTGCGAGAAGGCCAGCGATTGGTAGGTGCCGCCTGAGAGCTCGACGAAGTCGAATTGGCCTTCGTTCTCGAGTGAGGAGCAGAGATCGCGGCACTCTTCGACGGAGAAGCCGCCGTCTTGGAATTCGACGCTGTTCAGCTTGATGCCGAGGATGAAACCGGTGGAGGTGGGGAGTTTGGCGCGGATGGATTTGGCGATCTCGAGGATGATGCGGGAGCGGTTGGCGAGGCTGCCGCCGTACTTGTCGGTGCGCTTGTTGGTGGTTGACGAGAGGAACTGTGCCAGGAGGTAGCCGTGCGCGCCGTGAAGTTCGATACCGTCAAAGCCGGCTTTGTAGAGGAATTCTGCCGCGTGAGTAAAGCCGTCGATGATGTTGTTGATTTCTTCCTGGCTGGCAGGATGAGGCTTCGCGAATTGCATGCCCATGACAGTACCCTCCAGGTGGACATCAGAGGCGGAAACTGGATTGGGTTGTATCCTTGACTCGACCTGTCGACCTGGGTGGCTGACTTGACCCACAAAAAGCATGCCATGTTTCTTTGTTTGTGCAGCGAGCTCTTTGAACGCTTCAAAGCGCTCGCCTTCAAATGTAGCATCTTGGGGGATGATGAGGTTGCCTGCGGCTTCTAATTGATCGTAGTCGATCATGATGTTGCCGGTCAAGACCATACCCAGAGCACCTTCGCCCCATCTCCGGTACACATTGATCAGGTTCGCTGTGGGAATTCCTCGTTTTGAAAGCTCTTTAGGGTCCCAGGTTGAAAGCCGTTCTGTCATTGCCGCCTTCATAAACCTGTTTGGCGCAGTTTTATCTGCAAACTCGAAGTGCAACGGCTTGCCCAACGGCGAAGCGTCAACATGCTCGGCAGGTAGACGAGCTGGACCCATTATGAAGGATGTTTTATCAAGAAACAGAGAAAGAAGCTATGATGAACAGGAGAAGGAATCGAGAGGACAGATCTGGAGGACAACACTTAAGAAAGGGGAAGGACATGGCGGATTTATAGGGAACAAAATGTGGTCTCGGAAGCACGTCATGGAAAGTAATCAATCAATGGTCAACCGTGCGAAAGTGTCACAGACTCGAGTACCTACAGCTTGTAAGATGGCCATATGCGAATTGCTTAGAAATCCTATGGTGAGACTGCAAAATTGGCAATTGGAATTGATGGTGTCACATCAGCCAAATTCTTTGATCTTGACCCGCTCGGCCCCGGGCTGCTGTAGTTGGTACTTACAAAGCAGCATTCAAAGTTTGCCAGAGTATCTAAGCACGGCGGCAAAACGGCAAAACGGCAAAGGAAATCCGGCCCCAACTGTCAGTACGACTCCATGGAAGACTGTATCTCTGGCCTCTGATAAGAAGGAGGTAGCAGACCAAAACCGCACCGATCCAACAGATTTTCAAAGCTGATAAATCAATCGGGTATTTGTGGCTTGTAACAAGCATGTGCAACGAGGACGGAGCCCGTGGCTTTCCAGTCCTCATTTCCAAGCACCTTGACTCAAAGACAAAAGCCCTTGAATACAGTCCAGATCTTCCTCTTTCTCCTTGCCATGATAGAGGTTGTCGGCCTGGCGAATCTCCTTTTTCCAAACACCATGTTTGTGATCATTCTCGTCCTTGTTGGTTGGAAAGGGTCCGGTACTGGTGCTCGTCAATCTAACAGCCGCATGGTGATCCTGCAGGACATCTCGCGGAGCACTGCTCGCTCGGCTCCGTCTCAGTGGATGGCTCGAGCTTCTAGTCCCAGGCGCCCAGTTCTCCTTGTCTGAATCGCCCGATGGCGATCTTGCATGTGATATCTTCCTAGACTTGCCAATGTCGATAATATCTTCTTTGCACTTGCTTGATAGACGTGCCATAGAGGACATAGCACGCACCAACTCTGGTTTCTGTTCAGTGGAAGCAGCCTGCTTTCTAGTATTCCCCGCTCCGCTTTTCGGCTTCAGAGCCATGTCTTGTCTTCTCTGTTGTGCTTTGGATCTTGCGTTCTGACCCTGTGACCTAATGAGATTTATAGCACCGACAGCCGATCCATTGTTCTCGTGCTCCGCTTGGGCTGACAGGGCCGTCCTCGCTTCTCCATCACAGTAAAATTCCCACGTACGAGCATCACGAGACCTCCCAAAAATCCCGCTGGTAGGTCTCGCCTTAAATCTTTGACCTTCCTTTAGCATTTCACTCGCGGCGACTGCACTATGACTGGGTTTAAGCTCCTCATTTCGCAAGCTTGCAAGGTTTGGCGCTCGTCGTTTTGGAGGTGATGGGGTTTCCTCATCAGTGGTTTTGACCTTGACTACCCCATCCACTGTCATCGACAGTCTGATTCCTGAATTTTGCGAAGATGGCAGGGCAATTTCTTCGATTTCAGTGAACGCTCTCTTTCTGCGAGTAGCTGACCAGTCAAGGGACGCAGAATGCTCAGAAGGTCGTTCGGCTAGGACCCCACTGGCTTTCTCGATTGAATATGCAGCCGTGCCAATATTGTTGCTTTCGTTAGAAAGAAGTTTCTTGTTTGTTCCGGCTAAAATTGGATTACCATCACCACTAGGCTTTTTCAAGGGTGGTGACGGTGCCGCAGATCTGATTTGGCAATCTCTGAGAGATACATTCTCTGGTTCCCCAGTCACAGTGCTCGATCGGCTCGTTAGCGAGCTCACTTGTTCGGCATTTTGTGACTCGAAGGATGTGGAACAGTCGCTATTGAAGGACACAATCGGATTTAGAAGATCATGGATGCTGGAGGCGCGGGACACGTTCTGGGTACGAACATCGGATTTTCTAGTGCTGCTTGAGTAACTTCGCTCACTGTCTTCTATTGAAGAGAACGACGATTGTGGAGTGGAGCGAGGGTCTTGCAAGACTGTATTTGGTTCGTCCAGAAGTCCTTGAGGAATGGGATTGCGAAAATGTGACATCATTTCATGAGGCAGTAAAGGTCTTGACTTTCGGCGATCGTTTTGTCTTCTGTTCTGAAACCATATCTGGACGAGTCCCGTTAGCTGCCCATCCATGATCGCCAGATTATGCTACCAGACGCACCTGAACTTCCTTCTCGCCCAAGGAAACGCTGTTCACGATTTCTGTTCGCTCGGCCTTGTCCGGCTTTGAGTTGCGTTGGTAGGCTGCTTCTAGGACCGCGTGATCTTCTGGACTACACAGTGCATTTGGTTGTCAGCATCTGAGCAGAAGAAGGTGTTGCAGGGAGCACATTTGGAGTTGGAAGGATATATAAAGATACCTGGTCCGGCGTCGCTTCTGGCGAGTCATCATATTGCTATTGATCCTGGGAGGGATATTTCGTGTCAACGATACATGGGAGTGGACAAGGAATGGATAATTAGATGGTTGTCCTTGTGTTTGGTCGACTTCCCCGTAACCGCCAGTTCTGGAATTGGTGTTGGCGAAGCTCATGACTGCAGGCTTACTAGTAGTTGTATCTGTTATGGTGATGGCATGTTTGACTCAACATATAATCACGGGGAAGTAGTACAGGGAAAGATTAAGAACGAACATCAAGTGTACACTACTAGCACTAACCCGACGCGGTGACGTGTCACTACTAGTAGAGCCAAGCCGTATGCGGCTTGGCAAATTGAGTCTTCTGCAGTGGTACGGAGTACTACTACTAATACTACTAAGTAGTTAGTACTCATTGTACTGTAGAGCCATGTACTCCGTACTCACCTTTCCCTTCCATTAAACATATTCTGGCAAAGAAAATGCAAGCAAAAGCGTGGGCTAGCTGTCGACCGTGAAGTCATGGTCCTGGTGATAGCAGGTGAAAGGACACGTCGAACGTTGATGAGTTCAAGTGGCCATGACTCCATCATGGGGTGCACCACGCCCAAAAATGAGCACTAATTAACTACTACGCAGAAAAATTGCTGGAAAGTCAAAATGAGGTATGTGTGGATTGGATTCCCACCGTCAAGGCAGAGTAAAACTTTACCACGTACTCGAGTAGTGGTACGTCCATGGCTGAATTAGCGTGTTGGAACGCGTGATCACGGGCTTTTGCCGGCTCGCCTCGTAAGGCTGCACTATGGAGCCTTGTCGGCCCCGATCAATACCTTGCATCTTCCCACCGAGCAGACACCGCAACATCTTTGTCAACAGCGCGGTGCTTCCTGCGCACATGTCTACAACAGGCACCATCGGCGCTAGGTCTCTACCAAAGACCAATCGAGCTATGAAGAATTCATGTTAGCTCCTCGGTGATCTGGGAACTTCCCAAGAGAGCATGTTATTTCGAGATCTGCCTTTCTGCGGCTGACAACATACTGCAGCTATTGGCATGTAGATCCGAAGGATCCACGCTTGGACTCTGTCGCCTTGCAAGGTGACCAGACCTTGTCAGATCCTTCGCAATATGTCATACGTACAGCCTGGTGACTCTACTAATTTAAGAAAGTGCGCTTAAAGTTCGCTCTTCAGGTGCTTTTGCAAACGGAACACCCGACGTAACAGGTGCTCGGTTCTCGGTTTTCGAGCTGATATGATGGAATCGCTCATAACATAGTCCTTCTCGGAACAGCATGAACGCCTCTATCCCGATGGTGGATTTGAGTAGGATGTTCGTCCCCCACCATTTCATTACCCGCAGCATATTTGCGAACCTCTCATGCCTGGATAGAGCATGGCGCTACGGTCGTGGGCTCTCTGCTGCCTTCCCTCCGACCAATCATTCTGCTCTGAATCAAATCTACCACGGTATGATCTGGCCTGTTACGCTATTTGCAGACTTAGTGTCAATTTCATCCCCTTTAGTCGGCTGTTCTGCTGGTGCTCAGAGGGGCTCCATGGATGTCCTAGACTATCTGTGGCCACCAAAGTCTCAATCATTCCATAGCCGGTCCAAAGCACACCGCCATCACCGGTGCTATTATCTGCAAATCTTTTCGCCTTGGCCTTTGAAGGCAGCAGCCGTTTCTGAGTAAGATTGGATACAGTTCTACTAGACAATGGCAAGGATCCTAGATGGCTGGTGTGTTCATTGGCCACAGTAGACCCATCACTCTTGGTTGCTCTTGCGGTGAGGAGCCTATTATGTGCCGAATCAGCCTATTGCCTACTTACCCCTATCTCTTCCCCCTATGATCTACAGCATTCAGTTGAGTGACTCTGGCTGTTCTTTCTGGAGCTCATGAAATTCTTTCGATAAGGCTCTGTCAATCTGAAACGTGAACCGCAATAAGATAGGCATGTTGTTGGGGAAGTCCTTGAGACTAAGCACCTGTCTCCGGTCTGTGAGTCAACAGGAACGGAGTCATCTGGTCCAAAGCACAAGGCAGCTGTGTCAGTTTTGCCTTTCCTCCACGTCGTTGGTTGCGACAATGACGCGATTTCGGTGATGCTGCTGAAAATCATTCAATCCTCTTTTGCAAGAACGGGCACACCCATGCCCCCCATGCGAATCGCCATCGCAGGCACATGTGGGTTGGCACAATACATTGCCAACCTCCTAGCAACGCAGAGCTACCATACCTTCATCGTCTTGTCACGGAACGTGAGTCTTTCGTCTTCGGGTTTCTATGAAGCTTACCTGTCCAGACAAATCCGACGATGGCTGCTAGAGGATGGCAAATCATTCAGGTGACCTACACCAATGCCAGTGACCTTCGATATACACTTGCTGGTGTGGACACAGTGATCTCAACGATAAACGGCGATGCTCAGTTGGCACTCATTGATGCGGCAGCCGCCGTTCATGTGCGTAGATTTGTGCCCTCTGAGTTCGAAGGCTCTCCAGCAGTCCGCCCAATCCACGACGTCTTCGATTACGGTCGTCGGGCTGCTTTGAGCCGACTACAGCACTATGAATCTCGGGGTATGGGGTTCACCGTGTTCACATGTGGGATATTTTACGAACGATTTGGTCCGGGAGGTATGCGTGCCTCCCAGATCGGTCTCCGGAGTGCGATCGGTGGCGAAGGTGAATACATGATGGATATTCGCAACTGCAAAGCGAAGATACCCTATTACAACTCGGCCGGTCAGCCTGTGCATGTTTGCATGATGTCGGCACGAGATGTGGCCAGGTTTGTAGTGGCCGCGCTTGATTTGTCCTCGTGGCCACGAGAGCTACGAATGAAAGGAGAGCGAATGACCGTTAGTGAAATCGTCTCCATTGGCGAGGTATTGAGAGGTGAGAAGCGTCACGACAGTTGTAAGTGTTGCTAACACGCATGACCGCGTAGGCAGAGATTTCGAGCGCGCGAATTATACCAAGGAGTCCCTTCAGGATGACTTGACAGTTGCCCAAGCTCTTCGGGACGATATTCGGGAGCAGAGGACACAGCACTTGATCGTGACGGCAGACGGCCGCTACGACTTTGGTTCGTTCAATCTCAATTCGATGGTCAACGTCATCCCACAAACTTTTCAAGATTGGCTTGGACAAGCTTGGAGTTCTTAAACATCCCTAATCGATATGGTCCGTGCGGACGAGCACATTCTAATGCACGTTCGAATGCAGCATCGGAACAACGCCATCTTGGTAGCATGCCCTATCATACCAAATTAGGGTGACGCGAAGGCACCAACACGAGCCACCAACTGCGTCAAAACTGAAGGTATCTTCTTCTCATTACTCACCACGATCTTGCCGGTGTCGGTCAAGACAGAAAGATAGAAAGAGAAAGAGAAAAGTCCGAGGCCAATATAACAATTGGTGTCGCTCTTGGCATATGACATATCAACAAAATCAATAAGGAAGAGAAGCAGGGAAATGACTTACTATTACGTACCAGCTGATCTTTCAGCAAAAATAATACCAAGAGCGAAGCCAGTTGTTTACATGGCCTTCAGCCCTACATATCGGTTCAACTGTTATACGTGACGGTTGCTATTCGGCCTTGTTTCCCATAGTGGAGAGGTACCCACTTCTATCATTCATCCAGAACATTCTTCACTGCGGGAAGGTAATATAACAGTCGTTCTCGTGACATCCCCAAGGCCGGAAGGAACCGGACCTTCCAAGCCTAACGTAGACGCTGATCTCCACATCATACAAAGCTCCTTTACGTTACATCCAGGAAACTGCTCATCTCCTTTTGTACCGTCGTTATCACCTTCATTATCAACGATGGCCAACATTTTATACTGTCAGAGCTTATCCTTTCATGGCGAGACCGCTTCCAAGTCCATCTTGCAGGTATTCTTGGATATCATCAACGACTCATTCTCTCCCAAAGCGAATCCCACCGAGTTCTCCTTCTTGGCCTAGCAGAGAACGTATGAATGACCATCGGCAGAAATCCTTGTACATTTCATATTCTTGATTCAACGTGTTCATCGAGCGACGCTTTATGCATCATAGCTGACCAATCTTCGTGCGATCAGATCCTGATGCATGGAGAGATGGAAGATTACATTACTCAAATGGTACACTTCCTGCCGCCTGCCCTATAACCTGTTTCGGTACATGTTCGACTACTGTCCCGTACTTTGCGTTGTCATCACGCTTGGACTGGCCTACAGCTTTCCCGAGGTTGGCGTCCAGCCATCACCAGTATCTGGCAGCGTTGTTATGCTATATCACATTGCACTGTATTGTAGTGCCACTCAATATCGGACTTTCTCACTTTTTCTCAAAACAGCACATCCGTCACTCGAGCCACGACTTGGCGTACGGAGACCGCTGCAGTGGCAGGCAGCAAGCTTCTACAAGCCGCTATGTCAAGATTCCTTACTAGGCATTTTCAGCCTGTCACACCCATGACATCTGCACATGTAATTGTGACAGCTGGGCAAACAAATGCCATTGAAGTGACTGCGTCGTCATTGGGAGATCCAGGAGATGGCGTCCTCCTTGGAAGGCCATTTTATAATGACTTTATCGCTCATATGCGACCAAGTGCTAAATTATTCTTATCAAACAGCCAGTGCAACAACAACTAACCCTGCTCCAGACTAAAGACTCTCACTGTATCTTCCGGAGATACGGATCCCTTTGGTCTTGACATGGTCTGAAAGCACGAAGAGGCGGTACTTCAGCCGCAAAAGGCTGTGGCTCAAATAAGGGCGCTAATACTGTGCTCGCCCTACAATCCTTTGGATATGTAGTACAAGTGCATTTTAGATTCACTAGCCAAATTAAGTCTTCTTTCAGACCGCTACTATCCTCGCAAGAGCCTTGTCGCGCTGATGAAACTCTGTCAGCGATACCAAATCCACTTCATAAGTGACGAAACCTAAGCCTTCATCACAAAAGTTTCTCCGCTCCCATTTGATCCCGTTCTACCACGGTGCAAATGCAGCCTTCTTCGTTTGGAGCAATCTGAGAGCATATTGATCATCCCAAATTAAACAAGATATGTCCAATTCTAGGGATGCCACGAGGACAACGACCATCAATGATGACAAACCGTTAAATATAGAGATTATTAGCAAAGAAGTGTTCATTGCCAGTGGTACTGATTTTGGGAGCGAGCAGCCTGGGTAGATGGTTGCAAAGATGTTACACACCCTAGAGATGAGATATGGGCGCCCTCCACGGCCTGGCCTCCATGGTGGTTGGCCCCATTTAGATCCACTCTGTGACCCTTTTTCTGCAGATATCCACAACAGCTTCTGTCCATGATCTTTACCTTGCTATTCAGCCCAAGTAGAAAGACATGCAAAATGCTGCAAAGGTTATATTGCTCATAGCAGTCTTTTGCATTTTACACTGGGAAATTGAATACCAATCCTGAGTGTTGTTTGGTCGTCATTTTCTTCTCTACAACGATCAGGGAGCTTCAAATGAGAGTTGAGAGTTAGTTCTCCACAACCAGAGGATTCTTAGAGTATGGAGTACTATTGTAGGGAGGCATATTTTCTGATATTATTCTAACGCTAAGTAGTTAGATCAGTGGCTGTGCTTGGCATCTGCAGCTCAAATTTCCTCGAGGTGCAACTCTCCCTTATTTCACGTATCTTCCCACAGGTCGCAAATGAAACCTTCAATAATAGACAGCAACAAGGCAAATTCTGCTGGCTGTTGTCATCTGGAAAATAAGATGAAGCCTACTACACGATAATAATCTGGATATTTGATATTAGGGTCGCTTGCCTCGACGTGGCATTGTCCTATCTTGCGAGCACGGAAGAACAATACCACATTCTACACAGGTGCAGGACTACCTAGGCTAAAGGGACTCACAGTCCCTCATCAGTGTTTTTATGGTGCTCTACAGCCGCAATGCGTTTTATCGGATAATGTTGTACTGTTTCAAAACCACCCTATGCGTTGCGGTGAGACTAAGCGAAGACGATTCATTTTGTGCACGCGAAAAACACTGATCCATGTCTTCTGTCTGTGGCAGTGAAATCGCCTTCTGGCATTCAACTTTTTGAGATAAATGCACAAAACGTTTCACTACATGTTTCCTTTCTATTTTTGGAGCGCTATACTAGCATTCTCAAACTGGCCTTCAAGATCAATGAAGTACAGTTTTTCGCCATGATGAAACCAGCCTATCATCTCCCAGCTCGTTAGGTTGCAACGTTCAAGCGTGTTCCGGTCTCTTCTAGCCGTCCCACTGAGCATGGGCAGAGCGTGGAATGTTATGCTGAACCCTTCTGCTGGAGTCACCTACAGCAAATTCAGAACTACCTTCGAATACATCTCACAATTTCTGTCGGTTTGACAATTCTCGTGGTGAATTTCAAGGGAGAAAGCTTCGGTATTCGTTCTGAATGCATTCTCATCATCTGCGTCGGACTGACAAGTTCTGCTTCTTGAAAGGCTTGGCCGCGGGTGTTCATGTGCCAGTCCATCTATGATGCAAATCCACATCTGTGACATATGTTCTCCATTTAAGCAGAAGCCTTGCCTTGACCAGCAGTTACTGCTGTCTTGGCAGTCCTTCCCACAAAATCAGCGCCATTTTGCTGGTCTACCATTTCATCCCTTAACCCTGACAGGTCCCTCAGAGTCTATCATATCATCTACTGCGTGAGAGCACAGTCTGCCATACTACTTTGCACTTTAACCCGTCCTTTTCATCTGGTATTGGTGGACTTCATGACCAGCCGTTTGAAACTCATCCGAAAATCTTAGACACTTTATCCTTGACGCCCTTACACTCCCACCTCTATCCTCGACACCTTTCATACTCCCGCTTCTGACCTCTATGAACCTCGATCCGTCGTTCATATGGTCGATGCCTCAGTCTTGGTAAGTGTCTACCCCAGTAGTATTTGTCGATTTCGTCTCTGCTCGAATTGCTTATCCTACTTTGGGACGCTGCTAGCCTTCTCTTTGATTTGCTCATTTACTCTTCCATCATTGCTCTTCAACGCATCAACTCAGTTGAAAAGCCTCGGACACAGTTAATCATTGAGTCCCACTATCATTCGTTTCAAAGCAACTTACTTGGTGTACTGTTGGCGATTCCCCTCTGCGTGTCACTTGTATATTTCATGATAGTATATCAACAACTTCCTCTACTCAGTGCAATCCCTGGTCACGACGTCGATACGCCTGGGCCAAAAGTTGCGCTGACTATCTAACGCACAACTTCCTAGGTAAGACTGATTTAGCTCATGCACCCAGCCAGCTTTGTGAGTGTATTATGGTCCCTTTAATGATTGCTAATCATCACAGGCCTCACAGGCAGACGAAATGGTATATACTGAAGAGAGGCTCAAGCATGCTCTCGAGGTCTTTCGTGAATCCAAGCCTTACCGCGAGCGGCGAGGCCTTTCCAGCAACCACCTCGAGAGCCATATCGAGAGTAAATGTAGGCAGCATCGCACTCGGAGTGGCAATGTGTCTTTTGCATATAGGACAACAGTCGGAGGGACATGGAACGATAAGGACGAAAGTGATGATTATTGTCCGGGAAAGAGGAAGAGAGTCGCAAAATCCCAGAAAGCGGCACATAAGCCGGCGAAAAGAAAGCGGTGTGATGCGGGTGAACGGCGAAACTGTAGGGATTCTAAGCGCCACAAGATATCGTATACGTCTGGAAGGCAGAATGGATTGAGTCTCAAGGTGAGTATCAAGTTCGAGTCTGATGCCGCCAGAGCCAGGGTCGCCGAACTGTTTCCAACGTTGGTCCACGATGCTGAACAGAGTAACAACGTGCATCATATCAACGACTACGACAGAGAAGCCGACGGTAAACACCCCGTCTGTCCTCACTCAAGCGCTTCCTCTCTTTCTTCCCACGAGTTTATTGCTCAGCCTCTGGAACAGCGCAAAGCGGAGCTTCAATTTGCAGGATCCAAAAAAAGTCTCGGTTTACATGAACCGAGTCAACAGCACTTGCCAAGGGCTTGCGAGTCAGATCCTATTATCATCATCGACGACAGTGATGATCCTACTGATTATGGAGACACCCTCAGTGGAACCAAGTTTTCCGAGCTTGCTGGTCAAACGAAGATTATCAAGACTAACTGGGCCCATCCAATCGATTATCGCTCCAAGCCAGAGGTCTGTGATTTCTGTCAAGACTTCAGATATCCACTTTTTGGATGTGGTGCGGTCAACGTTGAAGTCATCCAGCTGGAGCCAGGGGTCTACGAAGAGATGGGCGGCGGGCACAGGGAAAGGGGCATAGCACCCACCAAGATCTGTCTGAATTGCTCTTTGGAGAGAATCACTATTGCGAAATGCCCTGGACATAAGATATTGCCTGTTGCTGGGTACCACGAGGAAGAATTCGACCACCCGTCCTTCCTGAGCCAAATCACTTCTTCACCATATCCCGAGCATCCTACCTGCTCTGTTTGCATCAAACCTGCCTTCTATGCATGTGGCGCTACGCAGAAGGAGGACCCTTTCGGTCTTCCAGTCACAGGAGAAGATGCCAATGGTTGTGGTCTCCTCCTTTGCAAAGACTGTGCTGGCGTGGTTGCGAACTTTGGTTTAGATATGGAGTATCTAGAAGGATTCTGCGAGAGCAGCAAAATACTGAGGGCGGACCGTGAATTCTTGCTGCCTGGAAGCGATCTGTGGCTGGTATGGAGAAAATGAGGGTGAGTGGGAGGAATCCATGCATGATTGCATACTAGAGATTGCAAGATCAGACCACTGGGACACATGAAGCGAGCATCGTGGGTTTCAGGACTTTGCCCCTGTATGATGGACGGGGCAGATTTTCACCAATGGACGTTCACTCTGCACGCTTCAGGAGCCCGAGTGGTTGACCAGCGTGGAACATTGAACGTAATCCTTGCATGCTACGAGCTTAACCTGAATGTGGCTTTTTTTGCAGAGCTATTTCAGTACATTATTACATACCGAAGTGAATCTCAACCTAAGCAGGCGAGTTTGTTGAGAACTGATGACATTCCCGGATTGAATATGCTTACCCTTATCGGGGGGGCCATCGAAAGTGTGCCAAGACGGTTGTTATCTCCAAAACATGAGGCAGGCAGCCAGGTACTAGCAGATGCTTAGAAAGTCATAAATAACATCCGTCAGAGCTTGCCCTTTTCTACAGCCATCATTCCCTCATGGACTCGGAAACCTCATGCATGCATATCATAAGGACTGCACTGTGACCTCGATCGCTCTTGCGCCGACGTCTGATCTTAAATGCCGCCAGTCTACAATAGGACCGGCCTTGCACACGTCTTGTTACAACTTGGGTCCACACCACAACAAAAGTACTTTTGTGCTCAATGACAACTGTTGGCTTTGCAAGGAGGGGCTCAACCAAGGTTTTTGCGGCAAGTGTAAGTATACAAGTCTGCTCTTCATCCTTCTAGGCAAGTTGCTACTCGGGATTTCAACTGCACTTGCTGCACAACTGCCTCCTTGAGCTTCTATGCTGCGTTGGATGTCTTTCACTACCCCAGTGCTACATGATGCCAGATTGCAGCCCATCCCAAGCCTTGTAGCGTGATTCTCCTTACAACATGATGAACCAGAATCTTGCTATGGTCACTAGGAGACAAGTTCAACACCGTTTTCCGTCCATATCTCTTCTTCTTTGGCGGGACTGTTATACCATACCGTGGCCTCAACGAACCGCTTGATTACGCAATTCAGGCAAGGCTCAACTTCTTGTCTATGGCTATTTCACCACGTGTGTTGGGGCGAGGAGACAAGTACATCATAGACGACTGGACGTGATGGTGTTTTCATGGATCAATCGGCTGCTCCAGGGCAGAAAAAAGCAAATTCGGAACGGAGCGTCACATCCGGACTACGAGAGAAAAAAAAAGGGTTCTTTGACAAAGAATTTTGTGGGGCATGAGCGTTTTTGTGGGGCTGAATCTTTCATTCCGCATTTTTCCGAGCATCTCCGTTCGTTAGGCCAGCTCTCAAATAACGCAGTTTTTGGTGATGTGCATATTGAAAGAGACTGAAGAGAAATTTTGATGGTGAACTCGACAAGCTCAGCATCAACCATTACAGACACTCTAGCCGGGCTCTTCAGTTGTTGCCAGCACTCAGCAGAAAGGCCATCGAAGTCCAGAATCCCCAATTGGGCAGCTGAAGATCTGGGTTTCTGGCTCACCAGGAATTCATATATGGCAATAGCAAGTGTGAGCCAATCCACCAAACACCAGTCCTAGGCTAGTGGCAAGAAAACAGGCATCTGCGTTTACCGGATTTCTCCGTATTCTGGATATTTACTACGTCTGAACCTTCAGTGTTTGCGATTTATTGCTCTTGCATAGTTTTATCCTTTAGAGCTTTCCTGCAAACCCACTTCATCTTTGAATTTCGCTACCAATGCTAACATGAATGCAATCCAGGCAGAAACGCAAGTATGTCTCATCATGGTGGGCTTGCCCGCCAGAGGTAAGAGCCTCATAGCTGGAAAAGGTACGCTTGGCCTTCAGGTACCCCGTTGATTGGAGCTAAGGCTTTGGTAGTTAAGCGCTATCTCGGATGGATATCGGTCAAAGCTGAGATCTTCAATGTCGGCAAGTACCGAAGGAAGGAGAATGCTCAACCAGACGCGAGCTTCTTCGAACCGCAGCCGTAACAGACCTTCTGAAATGGTTCAAAGCAGACACAAATAACACGGTGGCCATCCTTGATGCGACCAACTCAACAAGAGACCGACGCAAATGGGTGCACGAGCGCATCACGGCAGCCGGTATTGATGCTATCTTCGTGGAATCCAAATGCGACGATGAAAAGCTGATCATGAGTAATATCCTGGAAGTGAAGACCACTTCGCCCGATTATAAGGGCCAGGATCCTGAAGCAGCGGCAAGAGACTTCCGCAAGCGAATTGCGAATTATGAAAAGGTCTATGAGACCATTGACGAATCCGAAAAAGGTTATGCTTATGTGAAGCTCATCAACGTGGGCCACCAAGTCATCATCAACCTCATCCAAGACTACCTTTCGAGTCGCCTTGTGTACTATCTTATCAACCTTCACATTAAACCACGGCACATCTGGCTATCACGAGTAAGTAATCACCTCATGTCTAGTGTGACCTGGAGAAACTGACACTGATCAGCATGGAGAATCTGAATACAACCTGCAAGGCAAGATCGGGGGTGATGCGAATCTATCACCGCGGGGCGAGCTATACGCACAAGCTCTTCCAGGCATTGTTCGACGGTCGGGGGTACCGCAGGACACGAGGCTCGTCATATGGACATCTACACTCAAAAGAACGATCCAGACGGCGCGATATCTGCAAGCCGAGACCAAGTGGGATCAGCTCGAGTGGAAAGCTCTTGATGAGCTAGACTCGGGTGTCTGCGATGGGATGACGTATGGTGAAATCGAGAAAACGTACCCTGATGATTTTGCGGCGCGAGATCAAGACAAATACAATTACCGATACCGCGGTGGAGAGTCGTATCGCGATGTAGTCATTCGACTGGAGCCGATCATTATGGAGTTGGAGAGAAGCGACAACATCATCATCGTCACGCACCAAGCCATTATTCGGTGCATATATGCATATTTCATGGATTCCAGCTCCGATCAGTCGCCATGGATGGAAGTCCCACTTCACACGCTGATGAAACTCACACCTAAGGCTTACGGAACGAAAGAAGAGCGGTTCAAGGCAGATATCCCGGCAGTGTCGACGTGGCGTGGGAAGGGAAGTGCGGCAAAACATCACGACTCCATCTCCGACCCCAATGGACCGCCAACCATCATTATGGGGTCTCCAGAGAACTGAGTCATTGCACGCGCGTTAGGGAACAGGATAGCAGTCATTGTCCCGGGTAATGGGTTTCAGATTCATAGATTGCGTGCATTGGCCGGCCGGCAGTGGTGCTAGAGTCTTTCGAAGCCATTTGTATATATCGGCTGCGTCAGATAGAGTCAGAATCAGCTTGGCGTTGGACGCTTCTCTGTAGTGGCCGCCAGAGCAAGGTATAACTACTAGGTACTAGTCTCAGCAGCACATGTTACCACCTAACTTACTGTCGACAAGCAGAGCCACTCCTTGCCAATCCTACCCCTGAGGTGTAGAGGTCGTTCTGAACTTGAAGGCTTTTTTTGGGAATTTCTTGTCTCGTATCTTCGCTCATGTATTGTGCTGACAGTACTTGGCCAGCGTCAAGACTGCTGGATCCCCTTGGTGGTGTCACACATTCTGGCTACATAGTATTTGAAAGAGGTGTGTACTCGCGGTCAATCATGCTGCATAGGAGAATCCTTCACGGGCTGGAAGCTAATTATTGTAGTAGTGATATGTTCATGGAAATGGATTGGCAACCATTGTTGCCCTTTCAGGAATCGCTTTTTGGTAACATGCTGGCTTCTCGTCTACGCTATCAGTGTACTGATTGTCAATCCGTCAAAAGGGTGGCTCCTCATGGTTTCACGGTTTCGCTACGGTACTGCAGAAGCACCTCAGCACAGCGGTCAGATCGCAGATGGTTCATGCAGCTTATCTTGGCTGGCCCCCGAAAGTACGACAACGATATTGGCTGCACCAGGAGAGAAGGTGGGCAGATGGTGACCCTCATGGGTCAGGGAAGGGCATGGCCTCAGCTGTTCTAAAGAACCAGCCCCAATGAGGTCAGGCTCCGCGCAAAAGCCCCGTTGTGCAAAAGGTTTCCTCTCGAAGCGGGGTACGACCTGAACTTGTCCTTGAACAGAAATAAGCGAGTCGAGCCTTTCGGCAGTAGACGATCAGGCAACCAACGTCTAATTCACGACAGCAAATGCGTTGCGGCACAAGATAGTTCTTATCCCGACCTACCGAGTTCTGTCTTCCAGGGGCATTGGCCAGTGCAGAGGAAGGATGGCTCTGACGTATAGTGAACATGTCATTCTCTTTGCTTGCTGATTATCACTCAATCCATTGTTCGACTTGGGTGGCGACCTTGGCTGCTAGTGTGAGTGGAGCTGTTGCTGGTCTTGGCGTCTCTTTTACCGGATTCTATTCTTGGTCTCCCCAGTGGAGCTAAACGCTGCCACTTGACTAGAAACGGTATGATCACCACGCCGGATAAGCGTTTAATGGTACTAATTCGAATCAGTAGCTGCTCACTCTCTTGGCATGGTTCGCTGCTTCTGGCCTCGCTTTGGTTAACCTCCTGTTCGTTATTTTCTCCAATCCAAGATTCGAAGTTGCGGTTGACCCACCACTGCTCCCGGTAGCCTGGTCTAGCAAGCGCCCTAAGGTACCCCGCTGCTGAAATGCAGTGGGCTACATGAGTCTAACCATCTGGTGGAGCTTGCCACATATGGCCCCAATTGGCAGTACCATAGCAGTACAAAGAATGGCTGTGCCTCATAACAACAATGGCTGGCACTGGCAGATAGCAATCTCCACTAGGGTGGTCCCATGCCTTGCGCTTTGTGCCCACTTTCAACTTCGCCAGATTAGCATTGAGGACCACAAGGCCAAAATATTCCCTTTCCTTTGGTCACAACAATTGCATGAACGGAGCAGTAGGAATTCCTCGACAAGATGTACCGGCTAAAGAGTATCGCTCTTTCCTCGTTGATCCTGCTCCAAGTGTCGCTTGTTAAAAGCCAGAGTGTGACCTCAGCGGCCGCACCTTCAATCTCCCCTTCATCAACTTCCAGTAGAGAACCAATCACTCGGACGGTAGCTGTCTCGAGGGTCAGTAATACTTCTGTTCTGTCATTGTCCATTGCAAGCGAAAGATTTCTAACGAGTCAGCACAGGGCGATCATACCTTCGAACCAGATGTGACTCTGGCGGAAGTTGGCGACTATGTCGAGTTCCAATTCTATCCAACAAACCACAGTATTGTGCGCGCTGCGTACAAATATCCCTGTATACCTTTCGAGCTTGTAGAGACAGACAAGGTCGGATTCTTTTCGGGTTTCCACCCAGTCGACGCCATTCTCGAAAACCCTCCTACGTGGACCGTCAGAATCAACGATACTGCTCCCATATTCTTCTATTGCTCTGCTCCCGGATCGTGCATCAATTATGGCATGGTCGGAGTGATCAATCCCAATGCTACGACCAGCTTGGAGGTCCACCGGGAAGCTGCTGAGGAGTCGTCTTTCATGTTGCAGCCAGGCCAGGTACAATCTGTCTTCGTGTCGGTGGAAGGATGAGTCCAGCTGACGAGAATAGAACTTCCCTGATGAATCTGTTCCTCCAGACGCTACAGGTACTAGCTCTTCGTCCTCTAGCGCATCACCGACTGCTTCTCCCACGGCTGCGCCAGCATCCACCACGACTGCAGCTGCCGCCGCGGCCACGCCTCACTCTGGTCTCAGTCCTGGAGCTATAGCAGGCATTGCAATCGGTATGTACGGAAAATTCTTGAGTAACGTGGAGACTTATGCGATTCTAGGTGCTGCTGCTGTCCTTCTCATGGCAGCGGTCTTAGTCTACCTTTGTGGACGCAATCGGGCCCTGTCAGACATCATCCGGCCAAAACATTATTCAACGCAATCTGCCGACTTCGACAGCAATGGTGTGCAATATGTCCAAACGGTCCCCAAACACATGTCTGGCATGACCATGGTGTCGGCAAGACCCGAGAACACTCGCTATATGCAGCATTCTGCAGCATTGCCAGGATATGTAGGACCACATGATGGCGTGCACTCACCTCCGAGAACCAACTATGCGCCCTCAGATGCTTTAAGTCCTGCAAGCCCTGTCATCCGAAGTGCGTCTCCAGGTTCAATGGTCGTGCCAGCCTACACACAGTCACCTCCGTTACCATCTCAGACGCCGTGAGTAACACCCGGGTCAACCCATATATGCTTTGATGTTGAGCTGATCTTCTCGCAGTGTCGAGCATACTGCGGACGGTCCTCACGAGATGGATGGGCGTGGGCTACGAAGAAACAGCATGCACAAGGGAGGGGTTGAACGGTACAGCTGAGGGACAAAGCTCGCTTTTCGACTATCTATAACTGTATTGACGGTGATCAACGAGTCTCATTGGTTCTGCAAGATGGAGCAATCTCTGGTGGGGTCATTTGTATTGTCAAGATGCTCAATGCTTGGTCGATCGAGACGAAAGCGAGAGCGGGCTATGAGCGTCAAGCTTTTAATAGTTATAGAAGATTGAATTGGATATATGACCAATCACATGCATGGTCTTCCTGCACTCGAGCTCTCTTCAGGTTGATGGGATGCAGTAGTGATGTGAAATACTACGTATGTATCCTTTCTCATTTTGGGGCCGAAGCTTGGCGCAGAAATTTATGGCAGTTCTCAGATCCCCTTCCTCCCCCCCCTTCTTCATTCCTCTATTTCTCTATTAATACTCACTCAAATTTAGTGAACAATGGATTCTGAACAGGGAAATAGGCGCCGCGTCTGCCGAAAGTCTTATTCGATCGATCCTCCTTCTCCTGCAGCCTCACGAACGTCAAAAACGATGCTTGATACGCCGCGCCGTGCGCGCCTTCTTGCTGATGCACGCCACACAGCTGGCAAATTACCCCGTACGGAGCTATTTAAGATACATAATATAGCAAATCGAACTGGCTATCGAATCCTTAAAGAAGGATCTGCGCGCCGCAGCGAAAAGGTCCACAATCGAGGTCGTAAGAAGATACTTGCTCCACACGAATGCGAAGCTATCGAGGCTGTCGAAGATGCTAATTTTGGCTTTGCTTCGTCAAGTCATTTAAGGGTAGCAAGGACAATTGGTCTAGCTCATGGCTCCGAACGTGCAATTCAACAAAATATGAAGGATTTTGGTGTAGGGACCTATATGGCTGCACAGAAAAAAATGCTCTCACAATCACATATCGATGCCCGAATTATATGGGGATTTGACCGTCGATTTTGGCAATTAGATGCATTTAAGAAGTTTCGATGGTGTGACGAGTCCCATTTTGCCACTTGCTTGCAACGACAAGCTCGAATTCATCGTCGCAAGGGTTATGAGGCTCGAAATGCCCTCTTGAAGACCCAATTTAGATTAAAACGCCAAAATCAATCTATACACGTATATGGCGTTGTTAGATAGAATTTCAAGGGTCAGCTCTACTTCTATACCGGCTCTGGTATAGGGGGACGGCTTGTTCAAGCTGATTATATGACTATTTTGAAAGAAATCGTCGCTCCTGATTGGGATAAAGATTGCATATTAATCGAAGATAACGACGGGCCTCATGGTACCAAGGGCAAGGGTCCTAACAAGGTCAAAGCACTCAAGGACCTTCTAGGGATCAAATGGGAGATGAACCCTGCTAATTCGCCTGATCTCAACCCCATTGAGACGATCTGGAGGATAATAAAGCAGCGCTTGAAGTCCAGGGGGGTCATCTTCGAAGAAGCTGTTCTGCGCAGGGCTATTCAGGAGGAGTGGGATAAAATTAACTCTGGATGAGATTAATAGGGCTATCTCAACAATGCCAGATAGAGTAGCTGCCCTAAATGAGCGAAATGGGCGCCCTATCCCCTACTAAATGGCTGTGTAGATAGCACGAATCTGAGAACTGCCATAAATTTCTGCGCCAAGCTTCGGGCCGAGGGGCCTTGAAAGTCTCCCCGCAGCGGAAGCCAATGCTTCGTCATTCTCCACACTCCCACTCCCAGAAGGACAATGCAGCCCACTGCTCTGGCGACCAGATTCAGACGACGCTTGATCATGGCGGAAATCTGGCCTAACCTCTGACACGAACCCTACATGCCCTGTCAATGCTCTCAGCTTTTACAGCTCGACCGATCGTCGAGCTACGGCAACGCGATAAGTCCAAGATCGAATCCATCCTAGCATATGGAGACCGTCTCCTGGTAGGCCTCAACAGCGGCACCTTACGAGTCTACCGCATCAATGAAGCTGGTCCGGGACCAACACCCGAATTTCAAGGCAGTGGAGATCCTCAAGGCGCCGACGGCGCAGAACCCGAAGCTTCAAAGCAGAAGATAGCAGAACTACTGCGCGAGAAAGACAAGTTTTCCAAACACAAGATCGAGCAGCTTGCCATTATCAAAGAAGCGAGTATCTTGGTGTCGTTGAGCAATGGATACGTCTCGATACACGATCTCCAGAGCTACGTGCTGCAGGAGCAGCTCACGAAGACAAGAGGCGCCAGTGCTTTTGCGGTGACGAGTAATATCGTCAAGGATCCTAGTACGGGAGTCCCTTCTATTGTCTCTAGGCTTGCTGTTGCTGTCAAAAGGAGGCTGTTGCTGTGGTCATGGCAGGATATGGAGCTTGAGGAGGGGACTACAGAGATTGCGCTTGTGAGCAGTATCAGGACGCTCACGTGGGCAAGTGGCAGGAAGATCGTGGCAGGGCTGAATTCAAGCTATGTCATGGTGGATATCGAGACTCAGGAGGTGAAATCCATCTTCGGGCCTGGGAGCATAGGAGGGGATCCTTCACAGGAGGGTGGAAGGTTGGGAGGTATGGGAGTGGGGACCATGAGTTACATTGGAATGGGTGCTATGATACCCAAGCCCCTTGCTACTCCGTTAGGAGAGGGCGAGGTGCTGCTCGCAAAAGACATCAACACGCATTTTATAGACCGGGAGGGAGAATCGCTTGGTAGGAGACAGATACCATGGCGGGTTGCGCCAGAGGCAGTAGGATATTCCTACCCTTATTTGCTTGCGTTGCAAGAGGCAAGCCGAGGAACGCTCGAGGTCAGGAATCCGGTGACACTGACTCTCCTCCAATCGATCAGCTTGCCAGGAGCGAACTTGCTACACGTTGCACAACCGAATATCAGCTTGGCGCATGCCGGAAAGGGGTTTCTCGTGGCTAGCGAGAGAACGATCTGGCGCATGGGTGCTCTGGACTATGACTCCCAGATTGACGCCCTGGTGGACGGGGACAATCTTGATGAGGCTATCAGTCTGCTGGGAATTCTTGAAGATGCTCTGTTGCACGACAAAGAAGGTCGCTTACGCGAGATCAAGATGCGGAAAGCGCAAAGGCTGTTTGATTCCAAATTGTTTCAGGACTCGTTGGACCTGTTTACCGAAGTGGCTGCACCCCCAGAGCGTGTCATCAAGCTCTATCCCAGAATTATCGCTGGGGATCTTGCGGAAGCGAAAGAGGAAACAGCGAAAGACACTCCGCACGCTGAACCCGTAATTCCAGTCCGGAGGATCTTATCGAGGGGTCATACAAAGACAGACTCCAGTGTTGGCAGCACCAAAAGCCCGAGAAAGCCGACCAACAACCCTTCCACGCCGCAGAAAAAGGAGCAGTCAGACGACAGGAGCGAAGCAGCCAGTGTATACGCCGAACCAGAGCCTATCTCAACGAGTGAAGCATACTCGGAAAGGGAGCTCAAGACTGCCGCACGAGCCTTGCAAGGCTTCCTGGCGGATGTACGACGTCGCCTGAAACCGTTCTTCAACGACGATCAGACACTCAAAGATGCTTCTGCAGTGCAAATACTCTACCGCGATGCAAACTCAGAGAAGACGCTGGAGCATCTCTTAGGCTTGTCGTCGCTTGAGAACGTCGATCGAGAGCAGAGGCTCAGAGAGGTTGCGACACTGGTCGACACAACATTATTTCGAACACATATGTACGCCACCCCATTCCTGGTTGGCTCACTGTTTCGTATTCCAAACTACTGTGATCCGGATGTAGTGATGGAGAAGCTGGAGGAGACGGGACGATACAATGACTTGATCGAGTTCTTGTTTGGGAAGAGACTGCACCGTCAAGCCCTCGAGCGACTGCAGAAGTTTGGCCAGGCTAAGGAAGGTACCGAAGGTGCTGTACAATTGCGCGGGCCTTCTAGGACAGTCTCATATTTGCAAAACCTTTCACCGGAGCACATTGACCTCATCCTGGAATTCGCGGAGTGGCCTCTAAGGGCAGCGCCTGAGCTGGGGATGCAGATCTTTACGGCTGATACAGAGAATGCGGAAACCCTTCCGAGAGAGAAAGTGCTCCATTTCCTGGAAAAGATTGATACTTCGTTTGCGCTTAGGTACCTGGAACATGTCATCGACGAGCTTAACGATCAGACAGCCGACCTTCATCAACGCCTCCTCACACTCTACTTTGACCGGCTGAAGCAAACCTCCATGACCACGGCAGAGAAGAATGAAGTGAATGCCAAATTCCTCACCCTCCTCCGGACGTCAACACAATACTCCCCAGCCCGACTCCTCGGCACCCTTCCCCGAGACGACCCAACCTTTTACGAGGCCCGTGCTCTCGTCTTCAGCAAGATGGGCCAGCACAAACAAGCCCTGGAGATATATGTCTTTAAGCTTCGTGATGCTGCCAAAGCCGAGGAATATTGCAACCACGTGCATCTGACGGAGGACACAGTAGCAACCACATTGCCGCCGTCCCGCCGCAAATCGACGACTGATCCAGAGAGCGAGCAACCGAGCATCTATCACACCCTTCTCGGCCTTTATCTCAGCCCGCCGAAAGGAGAGGAGAAGATGTGGGGGCCAGCCATCGAGATTCTCGCTCGACATGGTGCGAGGTTGCCTGCTAGCTCGACATTGGAGTTGATACCCGAGTCGTTGCCGGTGAAGGAATTGGAATTCTACTTTCGCGGTAGGATTAGGGCGGCGAATAGTATCGTGAGCGAGAGTCAAGTGGTTGCCGGGCTGAGGAAGGTAGAGGCAATCAGACTGCAGGCGGCATTATTGCTTGGAGAGGGTACAGCGGGAGAGAAAGCGAGAGGTGGGAGGGGTCGACGAGTGAGGGTGGATGAGGAGAGGGTTTGCGGCGTGTGCTATAAGAGGCTGGGTGGCAGTGTGATCAGTGTTTTCCCAGAGTCAGTAATCCCCTTGCCTTGCATCTTGGGTCGATTATTCTCGCTAACAAGACGGACAGTAACTCGGTGGTTCATCTCGGTTGTGCCACTCGAAAGCAGGCGGAGTCAGTGCAGGTATAATACATCTTGTACCGGCCGGTAGCATCTTGACGGCGTTTCTTCCATCCTAGATACCCCAGGCATACTATTTCGAGGGGTAGCGAAGCTTGTACCCCGGTCGTCAGAAGTAGCGATATTTAAGCCCTTTCATTTGATTCCCCAAGCTGCAACTTCTCGTGATTCAATCCTCCTCGTCGCCGATTTCTTCCTCGCCGTAATTCTCCTCCATTAATTCATCTTTCGATTCTTCCTCGCCCTTTTTGCTCCCAGCCTCAGGTCCTTCCGTCCCAGTCGCATTTGCACCAGCCTTATCCTCTTCCATCTTCTGCGTCAAGAACACGTTGATCTCTTCCTGCAGTTGCTTGGTCGAGGCGCGCAACTCGGACAGGTAGGTGACCTTGTCTTTTACCGCGGTGGGGGTTTCTAACGAGGGGAGGGGTGCGGTAATAGGATTGGTGAAGGTCTTGACGCTCGAAGGAGAGGTGTATGTTGCGCGGAGGGTGGGTTTGGGTGGATCGGGCATTCTTGTAGATGTGTCGCGTCTCGTGCCGGGTTCTGGCTGGAGTGGTTTGGTCAATTGTGTGAGACGGAAGGAATCCCAGGCTTAGTGAATGTATGCGGAGAATTATTGCGTGCAGGGACCAGGGGTTCATACGCCCAGTGCGGAGAGCAATTGAAGGTCTTCTAAGCCACAGCAACCGCCGATTGACCTCTTCAGCGCTTTGCCAGACAACGCTCTAGTCTCTGCAGGAAGAGGCCTTGATGCTACCATGTATCCTCAAAGCTAGGAAGCCTCAACTTAGCCGACTACGTCCATCATCCCAATGGCTCTTCCGCCTCTATTCCGCGACCTCTGCTACCCCTAATGGCCCCAAATCAGCCAGTCCAAACCACCAGGACCTCCCCAGCTTCTTGAACTATGCCAACCGTATCGGGTTATCTCCTACCTCGACAAGCTACGTTGGCACCTATTATGAATACGCTGTGCAACACACCCTACGCCGTCTGGGCTTCTCCTTGACCCGGGTTGGTGGCCGCGATGATTCCGGCGTCGACCTCCTTGGCACATGGCATCTCCCCTCGAATCCGCATCCGTTACGCGTGATCGTACAATGTAAAGCTCTGAAGGGGAAGCTGGGGCCCAATCTTGTCAGGGAGTTGGAGGGGGCTTTCATCGGAGCGCCCAACGGGTGGAGGGGTGAGGGTGTGCTGGGCATTTTGGTATCGCCGAAGAGCGCGACGAAGGGAGTAAGAGAGGCGATGGGGAGGTGCAGATGGGCTATGGGATGGATTATGGTGGAGAATCAGGATGGGACGGGGAGGGTCAGACAGGTGCTGTGGAATCGGACGGCGGCGAGGATTGGATTGGAAGGGGTTACGGTCACGATGAAGTACGGGGAGAAAAAGGATGGGAAAGAGGGAGAGGGAGGGTTGGATGGCGAATGCGTGTTATTATGGAAGGACAGGCCAGTTGAAGCGCTACCAGATGTTGAGGGGGAGGAGGAGAAGGAGAAGGAGAAGGAGAAGGAGAAGGAGAAGGAGCAGTAATTGCTTGATGCTATGAGGATATAACACATACAGGACAATATATCCCTCCTGCGCATCTGCATCCATGTGCAGAAGTCCAATATCACACTTGTCTCTAGCCCCTTGTCGCTGTTCCATCTTCCGGGTTGTTGGCGCAAGCCATTGGTTCATCTCGATCTTTGAAGCCACATCGCCAAGGGTGAATGATCGACGCAGGGAAGGGTGAAAGCGCGTCATGCAGGGAGTCGAGATGCCCTTCACCATCGCATTTGCCTCTGCTTCAATCTCGACTTGCGCCTTCACTTCATCGCACCGAATACAGCGTCTCTCTATATCGGAATGCCCATCTCCTCATGTCTCCCGTCGTTTGTCGTTTTCTGCAGTCGATTTGCCTGCACGTGGCCTTTGCGGCAACAGATTACGCCAGACCTGTGATATGACCGGCAGGTTCCAGGTCCGCACCAGAATATGCCTTCAATGACTAGTCCAAGCTCAAAGACAGATGGCAGCAATGTTGCGGATCATGCTAAGAGCCCTTCTGCAAATGCGGCCTACTTGTTGAATCCGAGAGCGTTCAGATCGCCATCTGGTAAAATTAAAGGTTGGTCACATGCCCCAGCTCCTCGCTTTCACGAACACATTGCTGGCTACACACTCAACATAAATACCTCTACTCATGCTTTACTTTTAAGTTCAACACTTAGCATTAGATTGACAATGACTCTTCGTCAGAGCGAAAAGAAAACATCCCGATCCGCGCCTCAGTGGCAGCTTCAACTCTTGCTCATCCTTCTTACGACCCTCGAAAGCTTCTGAACCCGAAACACCAAACGCTCACACCTACTGCACCTTCGAAAACAACTTCAAAGATGACTTCGATTTCTCCTCAACATGATTTACTAGACGATTCATCCGCACCTCCACACCCTGTCACTGCTTCGAATGGGCGCATGCACGGGCCAACATCAATGCTTGAAGGCCTATACGGCGCTCAGAAACGACAAGACCTGCCACAGAAACGGAAGAGAGTCGAGGCAATTGTGATCGATGATGATGACGCCGATGAGAAGGACAAGGAGAAGAAGCGCAGCATGGCTCGTCATAAGGGTACTGGCATTATTGGCGCGTACATGAGAGAGGAAAAGGAATTGGCTCCTCCTTCAAACAGTGCGCCTGTGGACCTCACTAAAGGTATGTTCGTAGCATCCTACTCCAATTCGCATTTTCCACAGAGAGAATTACTGACGTGCAATATCAGATGGCGATGATGAAGATCTAGTGATACTTAGTGAAAGACATCAGCCTCTTCAAGAAGTATGCTATGGCCTACTTGACGCAAAAGTCCAGGCCCACAAAATCCCCAAGCCGTCCAAAAATGCAGGACTGGGAGGATCTCAAGGCTCCTGGCCTGCAATGACCTGCAAACTCCTTCGAGATCCTGCTAGAGATATGATCATCAAAGTCATTGACCCGCACGATACAGAATTCGGACGACTTGCTCCAGAAAGCGCCATAGCCCTTGCCCCGGTCATGGATTCCTTAGGCTCATCACTTCGAACACAAGCTCGATTAATCATGCGAAAGAAAGGTGTCAATGATTGGCCCGGTCAACCATGTTCTGAGACCATGGGAATGGTGTTAAACTTGTACGGCCCAAGAAAAGACGTTGAGAGAGTCGGAAGATACTTAGGGCAGCATAATCTGTGGTTTCGGCAGCCTGTTATGGCAGACAAAGGCGTACCTATAGTCAATCCGCACACGCAAAGACACGAAGCAGCTATGGCTGGTAAAAAGCACTCGTTGACCGGAAACACACAGGCCACCAACGACAGTCGTACACAAGAGGAGGCCGTTACTGCGGTGTCGAAGCTTTTCGACGCGGTTGCCAGCAACGCAAAAGCTCTACCAGAGTTGGATCCTCCCTCAACGGTAACCACAAAACTACTCGGTCACCAGCGTCAGGCGCTTTGGTGGCTTCTTGAGCGTGAGAAGCCTCGTGCCTTTGGAGACGAAGAGGCAGACAACAGCTCACTGTGGCGGAAAGAGCGAAACGACAAGGGATACGTGCGATATCGAGAAATAGTCGCGGGTATCACAGTAAACGAAGAGCCACCGCAAGTCTTGGGAGGCCTGCTTGCCGACGTCATGGGTTTAGGAAAGACCATTGAAATTCTGGCACTTCTTGCTTCCACCAAGGATGAAGCTCACAAGTTTGGTGAGGAGAAAATCGTGCGCAAGAACGCAGATGAAACCAATATGGTTCGGAATGCGAAGTCGACACTGCTGGTATCACCACTAAGTGCTGTCAAGAACTGGGAAGACCAAACAAAAGAGCATCTCGAACCGGGAGCACTGACACATTATGTCTATCACGGCCCCAACAGAACCCAGAACGTGTACGAGCTGTCCAAGTACGACATCGTGATCACTACGTATGGTACGCTTGCTGCCGACTTCTCGAAAGGGGCCAACGGCGTGCTTCATCGCTTGAAGTGGTTCAGGATAGTGCTTGACGAGGCACATACTGTTCGAGAATCCAAGTCATTGCAAGCGCAGGCCGCATATAGTGTCTGGGCCACTCGGCGATGGGCTTTAAGCGGAACGCCTATTCAGAACCGTCTCGATGATCTTGGCTCGCTTACTCAGTTCCTAAAGCTGGCTCCATATGACACTCCGCAGGGCTTCGTCCAGCATATTCGGTCTCCAGCATCTCAGCCTGCCAACGACACGTTTCTCAAAAGCTTGCGGGTCTTTGTCGATTCATTTACTCTGCGCCGGCTGAAAGACCGCGTCGATTTGCCACCACGTCGAGACTTGATTTGCAAGCTGCAGTTCACAGAGAGTGAGAAAGAACTCCACGACTTCTTCCGTAGTCAGTTCAATTGGCAGATGAAAGAAATGGCAGAGAATAAGAAGAAAAGGGGCAAGAAGAAGGATAAGAGCAATCCAAGTGGTGGTTATATCAGAGCATTGCAAGGTATTCTTACTCTACGGCTGATTTGCGCCCATGGAAAGGAGCTATTGAATGAGAGCAACAGAGCACTTCTGCAAGGGCGGAGCAAATCGGAAGCCATAAACATCGATGATCCGACAGGAAGCCCTGCCTTTGATGAGAAGACAGCTTACGATAACTTGACGATGATGGCAAGTGCGGACATGGATTCCTGCCGCGAATGCATGAAGAGAATCGGAGGAGATTCGCCGAATGAGGATGATGAAGCAGATGTTATCCGTGGTTACATGCTGCCTTGCAACGACTTGGTCTGCAGGGATTGCTTTGAGCGAAACCGCAAACCCTTCGATGATGCTTTTCACGGTGCGCTTGTCAATTGTCCCTTCTGTGAGATGGCGATTCGACCAATCTATGTTCCCATCACGGCACAGGGGTTAGAAGCCTCCCGTATGCCATCTGAGGACAACCTGCAGGAACCACAAGAAGATCTGAAGACCACCAAGTTTTACGGCGGACCCCATACGAAGACCAAGGCTCTCCTTCACGATCTCGAAGCCATGCGGCAGGAATCCGAAGCCTACCTCGAAAAGGGCGAACCACCACTCAAATGTGTCATCTTCTCCGAATTTACCTCGCACCTCGACCTGATCGAACGCGCCCTCACCGACCACGACTACACTTTTGTCCGCATCGACGGCACTATGACCCTACCCCGCCGGCGCAAGGTTCTCGACGCCCTCTCCTCAGACGACAGCGTCACCATCCTGCTGGCCTCCATCAAAGCCGCCGGCCAAGGTCTCAACCTCACGGCCGCCAGCCGTGCCTTCATTATGGAACCGATGTGGAACCCGGCTGCTGAGCAGCAAGCAGTAGATCGGATCTACCGGTTGGGCCAGAAGCGGGATGTGTTGATCAAGAGGTACCAGATGGAGGATAGTATCGAGATGAAGATCATGGATATCCAAAGGAAGAAACAGGCGTTGGCGGAGGTGTCGATGGAGAGGAACCATGAGAAGTTGAGCAAGAAGGAGACGAGGGAGCAGCATATGAAGGAGTTGCTGAGCATGTTTAAATGAGACGTCATCAAGAACGGGGTTGAAAAGGGCGTGGGTTTCGTGCTTGGTGATTTGGAGTCTGGGGATCTGGACGGGTGAATGGGCAGAGCATAGAGCATTGATTTTTCAGAAAGGCCGTCTGAACTGGCTGGCAGATCGGGTTTGTTTTCTTTTGCATCAGGGATATCTGGGACAGGTTTTGGCACCACAGCGGCATGCATGGCATCTACTTACTACCGAGCGTGACGGGATGGAACTCGATTCCTCGGCGCGATTTGCAATTGACATGGAGCATTGAGCATTGAGCATTTCAGCAAGCGTGGGAAGCCGAGCGTCACGACCGACGGCTTTTCTCTCCATTTCATACTCTCAGACTTTTCAGACATCCAGACAATGCCTAGCATGCTTTATTAAAGCACATACATGTACAGAATGACCGGCATAAACGGAAGGCAGAGAAAAAAGCAATCCACTCACTCCCAGTTAAGTTACTGTGTAGGTATCATCGTCCATCTTTCAACCCCGGCGCCCTGGTATACGGTAACATAGCGTGGAAGCCCCAATACCAAAAAAGAGGATGGAGAAGAAGTATAATCCACTAAGTTAGTTAGTTAGTTACCAGCTCCTCATTCCACGCCCCAGGCCATTCATTCCATGCCCGGAGTTAAAACCCCCCCCCCGTTAGCTACACCACTAACAGTAAGCGACCGAAATCCCCAAGACGGAATATCTACCTACTTTTTAATCATCTATCCATGCATCCTAACCAACTAGCGCTCCTCCTAATAATAAGACGTCGTTAGCCACAACACTAACAGTGAATGATCGAAAATCCCAAGACGGGTTATCTGTAATATCTGCATTTTTATCATCTATCCATGCATCCTAACCAACTAGCTTTCCCTCCTAGTAAGACGCAACTTCCTTTCTGGATTGGGTTGCAGAAGAGGAGACAATAAACATCTGCTGCTGCTGCTGCTTGATTTGTATCCCCAGAGGGAGTTGCTGTCGCTCGGGTGGCATCAGGGCACACTACGTTGTGGTGCTAGATACAAGAAGGCCGAAGTTTCTGTTCGGGGAATGTCATTGCTTGCTTGACCCTGATGGACGAAGGGAAGGGGTGGAGAGAGAGAGATGGGATTTGTGAACAGAGAGGAAGGAGGGAGGGAGAAAGTGCAGATGGATGGGTTGGTGGCTAGCGACATGCGGCGGAAAGCCTTAGATGCAGATATTTCAATCGGTATATAGGCCTTCGTGGTGGGGTCCTTGTACGTAAGTAGATGGGTGGAAGAGGAAGAGGAAGAGAAAGGATCCGCAATGTTTGGTGATGCGCCAGAGTCTGGCAGATTTCAGACGCAAAAGAGAATAGACATGTCGGATCTTCACGAAGTAGAGGATTGGCTTGGAAATATCTTCTCCGCATTTCATAGAGATTATCATTAGATAATCTCGGCTGTAGCCGTAACATGTATCAATCATACTTCATCAAGATCCCTCCCAGGCTATGCAACGCATATATATCAAGATAAAGAAGAGACATGCCATGCAGGAAAGTGAATTACCAGATGCCGGCAGTAATAACTGCTGCAACCATCAACCCATCCGTTGTATAGATGTAATGAAATAGGAGATATTGAAAGATAGGAAATCTGTCCATATACCCTGTAGGCGTCATTTTACATGTCGTTCGATCAGCTTCCCAGTTAATGATGCAACCCAATCAAATCCCCAGGACAGCGCTATGTTGTGGAACGCCATGATCGCTATGCAAAAATGGCCGTCATTTATACAATGCGACATGACGAACTGTAAAAAGGAAACCCAAAGAAAGACTATGGTCACGAGCCGGAGTGAGACAGAGGATAGGAGGTAGACGGCATGTAAGCTTGCGATGTAGGCATGTCGACAACGCGGTTATAGTTGTAGGCATTGATGTTGGCGGCGCTAGGATCCTGACCACCGCTTTCGAAGGTACTGTAGTCGCCGTTGTCCCAAGATCCAAGAACGCGACCAGAAGCTGGCGGTGCAGTCATGGGCTGAGATGAGCTACGCAGGGCTTGAGCATACTGCGACATCTGTTGATGGGAATGCGTGGCAGGGTAGGAATAGCCAGGAACCATCGAATGAACTTGTAGGCGGAGGTCTGTCGGCGGACCACTAGTGATTGGGACAGCCACTCTTTGTTGGGGCAAGTGAGGTGAGAAGGATGCTGTAGACATGGGGTATGGAGATGCACCACGGTTCAGGCCATTGAGCTGGGGAGAAATAGACGCTCGAACATCGGTGCCAGAATCAGAAGCACCATTGCTAGTGTAGTGCGAGTTCATCGGAGTTGGGAGAGCACTCGCAGTGGACGAGTAACTTGCGGAGTATTTGCCGATGATCTTTTTAAGAGCATGTGCAAGGATCTTCCATGGAAACACCTTGACATCCTTCTCGATGTTTCGAGGCTTCGGACTTGGAAATCCCATGATCACTTTGAAAAACTCTTCGCTGTCAGGTTTCGACTTTGATACCGTCAATGGTCGAAACCCCTCGAGATTACGCCGAATTCGGTTCTTCTCCTCGACGGTAAAGCGCACGGCCACCAGTGATTCAAGCAAGAAGATGGTATCAACGCTGGTGACAAAGTAGTCTTTCTTCTCGTCCCACCAGATGCAGCTGATGCAAATGCTGTTTGGCTGACGATCTTCTGGCGCAACAGCCTTAAAGTCGGCGTGGATAGTGCTTTGATTTTGCTGACGCGTGAATTGAACAAGGCGGCGCTTAGCTTCCCATTCCTCCATATTCCAGCCCTCTACCATAGAGTCAAGTTCGCCATTAAGTTTCAGGACTGCTTTGGAGGGATACATGGCATAAGGGTTGAAAGAATGTGAAGCAGCGGCTGAGCTCATGGATGCAGACGCTTGTTGAATGGTAGATGTGCGGATCAAGGCAGGCGTCTTTCCCGTAGGTGCATCTACCGTTGAGGCTTGAGAAGGCGTGGCAGAGGACTTCGGAGCCCCGTTGACGGCGTTCACAGGTGTGAACGAGGGACTCAATGATGGCGGCGTCTGAGGCGACTGAGCTTTAACGGAGGCGGCAGATGCGACAGAGGCAGAGTATTTGTGACCTGGTACTCGTGGGGAGTTTCCCTGGGCATTTCCATTGTGTGATAGAGAGCCGACAATCGGTGTTGAGACGAATGGCGAATAGGGCGATGTATTATAGACTCTGTTCTCGGATGATCGCTCGGGTTGCCCTTGGTGCACGGATGACTTCTTTGAAGCATGGTGAGCTGCATCTTCAGAATCTGACGAAAGCCTACGCTTCCGTGACGAGACCTGTGAGATGATCTGATTGGCGTAGCGGAAGGCGCCAAGGTCGCAAAACGGACGGGAGATAACGGGGTTACCGATCTCCATCATGATGTGCAAGGGAACTTCAAATGCATGCCATCCAGTAGACGTGAAAGGAGGGACCTCGGCTGAGATAAGGTATTGCTTGGGTAAGACGTTAGGATCGCTCTGCAGTTCGAGGGCACACTCCACACGCTTGGAAGCAAAGGCCAAAGTGAACGTTATTTCAGGCGAGGTTCTCAGATCATGGCCTGAGTGCATGTATATGTTGATAGTTGAGCCCTCAAGACCTTGTAGCGGAGAACAGGAAGTGATTTGTGGGAATTGGCGGAACCGTTGATCAAGTATGTCTATGCGAGAGTCCTCAACGACCTGCTGTTGGCCAGAGAAATTGGTGCCGGGGCCATAGTGGGAGTCACCTGCGTCCTGATTATTGTCGGCTACTGAGGATGAGTAGAGCAACTGTGGAGCGTATTGTGGCTGCGCAAAGGGGCCGAAAGCGGAAGGATCGTGCAGGGCGCCTGATGTTCCATACTCTGACAGAGGTATCGTTAGACGTTGAGACATCAGCCGCTGGATGTCTCTAGGATACGTACCAAGTAGATCCCCTGGTTGAGACTTCTCGTAGCCTGACATCATGGAGAAAAAGGAAGCAGACTTGGCCGAGAGGCCGTCTGTGCACTCCTCACCAAAAAGCGGCCCTGCAGAATCTGGCAGACCAAACGTCTCGTCAAAAATGAGCGGCGTTTGGAAATCCGCAGAAATCTGACGAGTGTGTCAGCACGACAACAGAGTACTTGAGCGCATCGCCTGTTAGACAAGCAAATAGGAGAATGGCTTACCTGATGCCGATGACCTGTGAAGAAAGCCAGTTTGAAGGTTGGTATAGAATAAGCGGGAAAAGCACAAAGCGAGTGACTGGACTGCAATAGCGAGTGTGAGGTAGGAGACTACAATTCTCCTATGTTCAAAAAGCGAGCGGCGAGCGCCTGGTTATCAGGGCTCGATCGTAGACGCAGTAGAGAGAACACAAAGTCTTATAATTGACATTCGGAGTCTGGAATGGTCAAGGTGAGTGGTATGGAACCTGCTCAATTGCAGCTACTGAAGCACTAGGGCGCCTCAATAGACCGGTTGAACAAGTAGATCTGTTCCAATCAGAGCAACAGTAACAGAGCAGCGCTCGTCCCTCTGGTAATTGGCGGGCCCAGATCCGTGGTATGGGTCAAGTCTCGGGTAGCTGAAGCGACCTAAAACCCCGGGACAATGAAGGATCTTGCCCTACGAACTGCCACATTTATCAGCCAAACTCTTCGCACGGGAACCAACATGACAGATCGATAAGACTTAAAGCGTCTCACACTGTGATAAAGAAAGTTGAGCAAGAAGGTTTTTAAACTTGCAAGTATGCCGCCTGAAAATAAAGCCAATTTTACCTAATCTTGGGGAAGTCTTAGAACAGGCAGGTGCTCCCAACGTTAATTGGCTCTTTGCGCTGACCAGGTCCGAATCCAGGGAAAATTTGGGATACATGGTTGACGGAGCACATTCTGAGAATGGAAAATGAGACATGCAAGGAGCGACGAAGCTAATGGCGGCAAAAGAGAATTGATCATGTATTGGTGTACTGAAGCATCACTGACCTGGTAATTTTATTTTGACCCCCTACAGGAACTTTTTGAAAGCGTCCAACCTGGAAGGCGCTTGATATATTTTCCTCAACACAAAATCACGCCGCTAGCGAAATGTGCTAATGGTCGCACGGAGAGGCTGGAACGGTATTCGAGAGATGAGTAGCTTTCGGATTGGCCCAATTGAACTGTCGTCTGTCGGGGGGGGGTTCTGTCCTTGCTTGGTATAGGCCGAGATTTTCTGTGTCGCTATTCGCGGTCGGTCCTTTTTCTCTTTCGTTGTAGCGAGTGTTCAATTATCAATGATCAATGGACCGAAGCGAAAGAGGTCCAGGGATGAGAATTGAAAAACAAGCAAACACAAAGCGAATGTGGATAGTAACGATTGTGTGAGAGAGATGGTGGCGGGTGAGTGATGCCAGAGAATAGCGGGAATGGTATCGTGATCAGGGAGGGGGAGGTGGTGAAAAGGTAGGGTGATGGGATGAGAAGGGTCTTGTAATCGATTACACGAGCGGCAGAATCAAATCGAGGTTAGCGAGCGGAAGTGCAACGATGCAGGGTATCGATTAACGAAAGACGCAGAAGCGCTCCAAAGGCGTTAGAAAAGACTTGTGATAGTTACAGGTGGGGGGCAACATGAAGCTGGGGCACGCTGGGCTAGAGGGGGCCTATTTTTGAGGGGGACTGCGCCTCTCTCCCCTCTCGCTCTTTCTGTCATTTGCAATTGTGTCGCCGGAGACAAGTGAGTTTTTTGCCATCTGGTGTTTTGGGTGGCCATGTCATGCTAGACGGACAACAATAATTTGTTCTAGTGGGTAGTAGTGTTGACCTACCAGGCAGAGCAGGGATGGTGGGGATTTTTTGCAGGCTGCACAGCCGCAACGAAGACCCGGTTTAATTAGTGTTAGAGTTTAGGAGTGAGGTAACCCGGAAGTGGATGAGATGGTCAAGAGGACAATGATGCAGAGTGGACGCAAGGGGACTAGCTTGTGGAGAGAAAGACGTTTGTCAGTCGGAAAGGAGCAGCAACTACTGACTAGCGACCCATGCATGACGTCGAGTCGTGCTATGATTTGCCCGAGGAATGTTTAAATCTTTTGCCTGTGATGCAGTCTGACCTATATTTGACATGTTTCGTTTCCCTGGAAAATCCTCGAAAATCCTCGCCCCTCCATCCTCCATCCAGGTGCCCTAACCCTTGTCTGCCGACAGTACTACGTTATAACTACTACATTAGAGAGATGCCCTATTCGATCAAGCCTTGCTTCTTCCTACCTAGCTCTTGGGATCAACCCAGCGCACCCATCCACATGACCCTTTCGCCGCTCCGGCAATCCGACCAGCGAACAGCAGCACAGCGAACGTGCTCTCGAACGCTCTCAAGCACTGTAGCAACTAAAAAAGTCTAAGATAGTAACATGGTAACTTCAAAGCATGCACTGTAAATCGTACACGCTATTCCACACTGCACAACCACAATTCGCTGGATCGCTAACAGCCCTTTCTCCCGCTTCACCGCTTCGTCCCCGCTATCCTCATCCTCCGATGAACAACCAAATAGAGGTGTCCTTGGGCAAATTGGATTCAGAAGCATGGCGGATCTGGTGACATGGATTCAATGTCTTGCTGCATCCCTTGCAACAACACGAGTAAGGACGTTGAGTCGTGCCCCTGTCGACATCCGCCACCTGCCCTTGCACCATGGTCCATATTATGATTCCAGTCCCATGTTTAAATGACGCTGCTGCAAAGTAAGCCGTGGGAATACTATTGTCCTGCAGAACCCACTTTGGTAGAGAGGATTTTGACAGGCACCGCCATGTTCAGCTTCCTGTCAAGGCGCGTTCTTGAATCGTGGGCTTGGAGTCCATGTAGCATGTTCTTACGGCAATCAGGGCTGTCCTTTTCTTTTAACCTCGTCGTCAATGCACTCTCCCTGACTTGAATCATGGACCCTGTTCTATGGTCAGTGATCAAGATATGCTCCCTGCCCGCCTATTCTTCTGTGTGACCATGACAGGCATCAAATGCGCCTTGCTGCTGAAATGCGTGTACAACGGCCATTTCAACGAGTTGTCCCTGAACGGCACAGAACTCCTGCCGCTAAGATGTTCAACTATGGTACGTGATAGTACCAATCATTAGCATTTTCGACGGTTCCTGACCTTCCCTCATGTCTCTCCTGCAAGGAACTCGAGACATTCCAGCAGATCTTTTTCAGGTACACAGCCAGATCTATGCCTGTTCCTGAAAAACCCTTCCGGCTGCAGCTCCCACTGGGACTCGTCCCGTTCCAGCATTGTCTGAGCCGAGTAGGCTGTGTATGCAGACCTGTCAGGTTAGAGATCTTGGGTGCTGCAAGGCCGTCCAGCGACTCATGCACTGCGCACCACAAATGGGGCTATCTTTCACGACCAACTGCCTTTCAACAGCCTTCTCCCATCGACATGCTATTTTCGAAATCCTTCCTTCCATTGCTTCTATCGAACTCGGCAGTGACGATAATGCAAGCTGTCACAGCCTGCAGTAGGTTTCCTTGGCTGATGAAAAGGGTCAAAGTGTCCGACGATGGATGACTTGCCTCTTCCCACTGCTTAGACCATCCTTTGCGATTTACGTAAGGCTCCCTCCCACAAAGCAGCCGAATCAGGCCTAGATTTCCTTCCAAGTGCTCACCAATTCAGACTAACAGATTAGCGCGGTAGACAAGCCCGTTGAGAGGCCCGGTTATCTTAGCGATGAGGATGAGAGGACCCGGAACAAACCTATCACGGTCAAGAGGAGCATCGACCCATCTTGCATACCCCGAAATATTGACAACGGGACATGCATGCACTATTATATCCTGTGTAACTTCACTTTTTGTCGTCGAAAGCTTCCGGGGCATCACTGCCCCGGAATGCGCCACAAAAGGTGTCCACTATCCAGAAAAGATCCCGGTGTTGCTGCAGGTACTCGTACAAGTGCGATAAAAATGGCATCACCCCAATCCTTATCTCCCAGTTCGTCGACCGTAGCCCCCAGGTGCCCAGGATAAACCCAACTCACGAGTTTCTAGAACAATTGGTGTTTTCGATATCTCTTCCGGGGCCAATGTTTAGGAATTGCAGGTCCTTGTGCCTCGAAACCCCTCCAGAACGCGTCTTTAGAATCTCCTGCGTGCTTACAAACCAACGGCACGTGTCTTGACAGCAACACCTAGGTGCCTTGTCCTGCACATATCGCCCCTGTTTTAAGGCCCAGAAACAAATCCAGCTGCGGGGTCCATATCTCATACCCTAGTTGCTGCATCACCTGCTTGGAGTATTCTTGTCTTTTTCTGAGGAACAGTCAGCCATGTGCCTTCTGACAAATGGTTCGATCTGCGATGGTACAGAGCCTCAGTCATTCATAGGGTGTGCCGTTCTCCTTTCCAGCTTGCAGTTCCATTTCCAGGAGCCAGGATTTTATCGTGAACTATCCAAGTGCTGAGAAGCAACCAATAAGTATGTTGGCCTCTTGTTTTACCACAGCCAGCACCGATATAGACGGCGACACTTAGAAGAGCGCTAGTGAGTCCCGAATACTTATTATGTGGTGATTTTATCTGGAGCCCTTGCGGCGAGTCATCAAAGTCACCAAATCTATACCATGGCCCAAGGACTGAGTGATCGAAACCTTGTAGCCGGTGCTCTACTGTACAACGGGTGTTCATACCAGGAGGAGGGGTAGCTAAGGATATGAGCCAAGTGCCATTGGTGGAAATGACAGCTATTCTGTCAAATGGTCACCATACTAATATGATAAGAGAAGCATATTTTGATCACACTGTGACTATATTCTTAGTAAAATACGTTGTAGATAATAAGATTTCATTAGGTCACAGATGATTAAGCTGTATATCTTATAACTCTGTACTCTCTAAACAATCTTACGGTTAGGCTTGGTCTAAGCGTATATACTAATGGCTCCCTTAGCATTATTTTAAGAGGGCCTCTTCCTGCTAAGTAGTAAGCTAGATTTCCTATACTCCTTGAGTCTTCTCTGTGCGTGGACTTAGACATCTCTTCGAGTCAGACTCTTTAGCAACGACCATTTGGTGATGCTAAGAAGTAGGTCGTGCAAGAGAGTATATACTACGAAGTAGTTGCGTCTGGTAAAGGCTCTCCGGTCTTTTTGCAGACCCTTTCGTTTCCTATGGTACTATGTTCAAAAACCCACGTCTCTGCTACTGCAAGTCACGCTTCACTTATCGTATTTAGAAGAAAAAAAATACTCAGCCATACTTTGATTTTTTACTCGCTCAAACTAGGTAATGCTTTACGCAGTGACCCATGGGAGTTCATCCCTCTGCTCCGCTTCCTGACGCCTGCAAAGACATGCCTGTCGACATGGCATCGACCCTTTTGGGCCGGTACATTGTTCCGGCCGGAGGCATAGCTTTTTGTATCCTGGACACTTACCACGTAAGAGCCACTGGCGATTTTGAAATATCACCACGAGCGGATTCTCCACCGCCGCTGCCTGGAGGCCGATTAGAAGCAGAGTCACGCCCCGTGGTAGCCGTCAAGGCAAGCAAATCGCCTCGTATGTGTTAGAACCTCGTGGTTGACGGGTGTAGACATGGATATGGAACGCCATCGACAACGCGCACTACTTGTCGGAATAGAGTCCAGAGCTCCCAACACAATGTGTTGTTCTTCACATCCACGCAATGATACATATCTCAATCTCACAATCTTCCGCCAAGCCAATCACCCTGCTGCTTCTTACTCGCCTGTGCACTGAGCTGACCCATCCGATCAGAGGCATCATTATCTGAGGAAATGGATGGCCAGCCAACAGAACCCAACGAAAACCACCACCCCACCCCAAAAGATCCATTTATCCTGCTTTGCCCTCCTCTCAACCATTCGGATTGTGTCTCCACTGACCCCGAGCGTATTGGCCACACTATACAGTCTCCTCTGCGTCCCCTTCAACATCTCGCGCTGCTGACCCAGATCCCCCAACACCGCGCGCCCTCGATCCAGAAACTCATCTAGTTGCGAGTTTGTTTGTGTAAAAAATGACCGTTCACGTAGAGCGTGAGACTCGCGGCTTTGGTCATTACTACCAAAAGACAGCCCTCCTCCTCTATCGTCTTGCTGCTTCCCCACAAACAGTGGATTCTGACCACCACCACCACCACCACCACGCTGAAGTCCCGAAGCAGAGCGCGACGAAGAAGGCTGCGCATAAGGGTTCTCCGGCGTCATGGACCCGCCGTGATGGGGTCTCCGGCCTAACAGCTCATTCCGGTTGTTCACCGTGACAGCATCTTCGCGATCTCGCTTCAGTGCGTCGAACTGCGCGCGGTAAGATATGAGGTCTGCGCGGAAGTTTTTGAGCCGTTCGGTGGCTTTGGCGGCCTTTTCAGGATTAGGTTCTTGACGGGAGAGAGCGGAATAGGAGTCTAGAGTTCGATGGAAGGAGGTGAGGGTTGTGGAGATTTGGCCTGCGGGTTTGGGTTAGAAATTGGTGAGATGGATGGGGGTGGCTGGGATGGAGCCATGCAATCGCACCTTGTAGGGCGGGTGATGCTGTAGCAGGTGATTCGGCAAAGGCGTCTAGATCCTTTCGTAGAGCGGATGATTGTTTGAGGGCGGAATTGAAAAGGGAGTTCTGCTCTGTCTGTCAGCAAGAAGAATAGATAGTACACAGAGTGTGGACTGGGCCGTACCATGGCGACGGAGTTAAAGTTCGTCGCATCAGCATTGGTTCGGTCATGGAGGTTGATTGAGCATCAGTACCGCACTTGAAACAACTATGCCTACTAACTAGTAGTGCTTTGCGACTTCACCGAAGACAGTCTGTAGGCTGGGTAGGCAACTTGTCCTCAAGTAAACGGACGGGAGGGTAGCGGGACTGTTGCCGAAGCCTCATTCGAATCAATCCAAAGGGTGCTGTCCAATAACTCCCATCACTGCCCTAACATGCCAGGTAGGCTACATGATTGCTCCGGTTAGGAGAAGTCCGCCAAGCGAACAAAATCCCATTGTGCCACCACAGTCTACTACTAGTAGTACTATAAGAGCCCGGACTCGCGTTTCCAGGCTCGAGTGACAATTTACGCTTCTTCTTGGCGGAGACTCAAAAATTTCTGGATGAGCATTCGGGCTAAACAGTCAAGAATTGAGCTGCTAAACTTCAAGTGATCGCACAGATTCTTTTCTCGCTCATGCTTGCTTGCGCTTCAAAGCATATCTCGTGCCGCCGCCTTTGCATAGTAGTAAAAAACCAACGTAACTTGTCACTCTCGCTTCCGGAATGTGTCCCCGTCTCAAGTGGAAAGATAGCACCTTTCAACTAACAATGTACTGGATATCAGGTACTAGTACTATACTGGCGCTAAAGGCACGGCTGGGAGACACTACTTACTACATTTGACTGCATCTAGTGTGTCCTATGGATTAGAGACTGACGGTACACATCTCATATCAGGCAGCTACATCTTTGCTTTCGCGTCTCCGCAGCTCTTTTCCCGTGACTGGCTGTGAGGAACAAAGCCAAGCGCAAGTTGATGTCAGCAGCAGCGTAAAGCGTTGTCTTTTACAGCCAAATGCGTCCAATGCGTCTTCTGCTAGCCCTTGCTCTGGGCAGTGTATGGGAGACATGGGCCCAGAGCATAGGGACGACGACGTCGCTGTTCCCATCACAGGAAAATGCCAACACGCCAGCACTCTTTCCAATGCCACCATGTGGTCAATTCAACTTGGAAGAAGCCACCATCGACCAAATGCAGCAGGCCATGAGCAATGGCACACTGACCTCTCAGCAGCTGGTTCTGTGCTATATGCAGAGAACATACCAGACACAAGAGTATATCAGGTAGACTCGGCCAACTTTTTTCTTAGTCCGTCCATGTTTCTTCGTGTATCCCCGGCTTGTATGTTCGACCCAATACGTACTGTAGCTCACGTTTCTGCCATAGCTCACTCTTGCAACTCAATCCAGATGTGCTGTCCATCGCTGCAAACATGGATGCTGAACGCAAGTCGAGTATATTTCGCGGGCCACTGCATGGCATCCCTTTCACAGTCAAGGAAAACATAGCGACCAAGGACAACATGGAGACTACGGCCGGCAGTTGGGTTCTCATTGGCAGCATCGTACCACGAGATGCCCATGTTGTCGCTCGTCTTCGAGAAGCGGGAGCAGTCCTCTTTGGCAAGGCTTCGCTTAGTGAATGGGCCGATATGCGCAGCAGCAATTACTCAGAAGGCTATTCTCCAAGAGGAGGCCAAGCTAGAAGCCCTTACAACTTGACTGTCAACCCTGGCGGTAGTAGTTCGGGTAGTGCGGCCGCTGTCGGAGCCAATGCTATTGCATTTTCGCTTGGTACCGAAACTGATGGTAGTGGTAAGTGAACTCACTTGTGGCTGGATGCGTTATGCAGGAAACAAGACCTACCGATTAACACTCGACAGTCATTAATCCCGCCGAGCGGAACGCAGTCGTCGGTTTCAAGCCCACTGTAGGACTGACATCGCGAGCAGGGTAACTGCATCGTAAAAATTCAAGTCGGTGTCCAAAATGCTGACGGGTTTTGGTAGTGTTATCCCCGAGAGCGAACATCAAGACTCTGTCGGAACGTTTGGCCGGACGGTTCGAGATGCAGTGTACGCTCTTGATGCCATCTATGGTATCGATCCTCGTGATAACTACACCTTGGCCCAGGATTCCAAGACGCCAAACGGTGGCTACATGCAGTATATGACCGGGAAGGACGATCTGAAGGATGCCACGTTCGGGTTGCCCTGGAACAGCTTCTGGACCTTTGTGGACGACGAGCAGAAGACAATTCTCCTGGATCTTCTCGCTTTAATCGAGTCGGCTGGAGCAACCATCATCAACGAGACCGAGATTACGAACTACGAAAAAATTGTTAGCCCTACTGTCTGGAATTGGGATTACGGCACAACCCGTGGCTACCCGAACGAGTCGGAATATACGGTAGTCAAAGTTGACTTCTACAACAACATTAAGACTTATCTATCAGAGTTGGAGAACACCAATGTCCGCTCTCTCGAGGACATCGTGCAGTACAATTACGACAATGATGGCAGTGAAGGCGGTAATCCGTGGCCCCTTGGCATCTCAGCATTCTACTCCGGCCAAGATGGATTTTTGGCTTCTCTAGAAACCAAGGGCGTGAAGAACGAGACCTACGTCCAGGCCCTCGAATTTACGCAACGAAGTACTCGAGAAGGCATTGACTCTGCCCTGAATTACAAGGGGCAGCGCTTATCCGGGCTGCTGGTTCCACCAGATATCGGACAAACCTACCAAACCGCGGCACCGGCAGGATACCCAATGGTCACGCTTCCAGCGGGCGTTCATTCGAACACGGGGATGCCATTCGGTCTGGCAATTATGCAAACAGCATTCGGCGAGGCTGAACTGGTGAAATGGGCTAGTGCGATAGAAGATTTGCAACTGACTTCAGGTAACACGATCAGAAGAATGTTACCTCGTTGGCATGGATATCTGGAGAGGAATATCCCTGTCCTGAATGTCTGATCGTAGGAAATAGCACTGGAACTTGGAGGACGAAGGCGTCTACTTTTAGATAGACAAAAGAGAGAAGAAAATTGAAGCCGGTGAAATTGATGTTATGCATATTCCATAAAGCCTCACCCCATCCGGGGTTATCCTCGGCCCGAAGGCATAGGATAAAGCCAATGCACGCTGTCCCAACCGCAGAATCAGAATTAGATGGAAGCCACCCGGTGTGGCGTCGCAGAACAATAAGAATGACACAGTTTTGCACTCATATTACTACGAAAAGCTGTCTCGTCTTCCGTGTCCACGGGCCGCGGGCCGAAGCTTGGCGCAGAAATTTACGGGACTTCTCAGATTCCTGCTATGCTACACGGCTATTTAATAGGGGATAGGGCGCCCATTCCGCTCGTTTAGGGCAGCTACTCTATCTGGCATTGTTGAGATAGCCCTATTAATCTCATCCAGAGTGATTTTATCCCACTCCTCCTCAATAACCCTGCGCAGAATGGCTTCTTCGAAGATGACCCCCCTGGACTTCAAACGCTGCTTTATTATCCTCCAGATACTCTCAATGGGATTGAGATCTGGCGAATTCGGAGGACTCATATCCCATTGGATACCAAGACGGGCTTTGAGAGCTTTGACCTTATTAAATCGCTTGCCTTTGGTTCCATGAGGCCCATCATTATCTTC